AAAAAAAAAAAAAAAAAAAAATCCCATCAGTATTCGAACCTCAAAAAGTGGCCAATGGCAACCTCGGTCATAGGCTACATCATAGGCTACACCATAGGCTACACCATAGGCTATCCTGTCCATTGGTCTTTTTTGGTGTTTTTGCTTCCTTTAATTCTTTGTTGGATCCCATTACATGTCACAGCCTGAATTTGTAACTCTGGTTAATCGTTGCTTTCTTTATGAAAGCTGTACTACTAACTATACTACACCCCAAAATCTTCGTGTACATCTGCATACTAGCCACGATTTCGTATTTCCTAATCGACTCAAAACAAAGCGACGGCGCAACAACAAGTTATTTTGGTATACGCCCTATCCTTGTGATGATAAACGGATCAAGAAGCATTTTGCATGTCCATGTTGCACTGCTCATTTCGACAATTTGAACTCTCTCAGCAATCATTTTAATACCGATCATGAGGATTATCTTCCTGTAGACGAGCCCAGGCCACTATCCCTCAGTAGCGGCAGTGTATCATCTTGCAGTAGTACCAATACATCATCCAGCAGCAACACGCTACCCAGCGAATTGTCTCTCAGTGATGATCAGCATAATTCTCTCAACATCACCGCCACCATTTTTATGGACAATCATCAAGATCAAGGTAGCACTGAAGTTGGGATAAAACGCAACCACGACGAAACTCTCTTGCCGGATACAGTTTCGTTTGAACCACCCCAGGGCGACCGCTTAACTGTGAGGGATTTTGATGTATCTGAAGCGTTGTACCAAATGCAACTTTCACTGAAAAAATACAAGTATAAATTGTCTCTGGAGGATCATCTGCATGTCATAATGGCCTCAGCATCGATCTTGCTTTTGACGCCCTACAAGTATCCGGATGAGTTGAAGCCTTTTATTCAGCACGATAACTGGCTTGCTACCATTAAACTCATTCAAAACAGGTACAAGATCAATCGGTTGTCTATGCCTGTCAACACCGTGGCCAACATGCTCGCGACCATCGATCAGCTCGTTACCGGCAATATCAACAGAAAGGGTGCTGTTCACGCCATTGATTCTTTATCACTATCAGCGCACGAGTCCATGTTTGCTGCGGCATTGTGCTCCTTGATCCGCAAACTTCCACCTTTAGCCATCGAAGAAGACATGAATGAATCCGAACTGTGCTCGAGATTTGTTGATCCATTCCTTTCTGGTCTTTTTGACGACCCCGATGCCGGTGTATATCTCCGTTGGACCAATGAAACCACTTTAGAAACGAAAAAGCACGGAAATCAAGATGGTTTGCGTCCTGATATGTGCATCACTAAGTCTTACGGTGTAAAGTGGAGCTCAAGCTGTGGCTATGGTGAGGCTAAGGCGTCCAAGCAAGCGGAAGATCATCATGTGGTATGCTATGATCTTCTCAAAGTAGCAGCATTCTGCAAGAATGCTCTTGACAAGCAAAAATTCGATGGTATCTTGGGAATCCAGATCGTTGGCCGAACAATTATCTTTTATGTACTTCTTTTGCCTGCCACGAAACTGTACACTATGCTCAGATTGGCCGAGATCAAGCTACCCGACAGCCTCCAAGGTTTGCCATCCTTAGTGACAGAACTACCAAACATCTTGGGTGTTTTGGATGTATTTGACAACTTATGCATTCCAGCAAAGAATATAAAACGAGCTATCGATTGCCAAACCTCAACAGAACCAATGTCGTTGTTCAACCTCATCCTCTCATCATCTAAGGATCGAAAGAGACCCTGCCATTTAAAGCTTCGACATAATTAGTATCCACTATCCACGTGCTCCAACCAATCTAACCTATCCAATCTGTACCCACATTTCGGTTGATTTCAAAAAAAATATTCCCTCCTGTAGTAAAGCACAAATTTTGTAATCATCAATATAATTGGATAGACTTACTCTATTCTTCACTTATTTTCATAACCATACACATAAAGAGACGTCAAAAAAAGGATAATTTTGCGTTAGTTTCTGTTAATTTCAGAAATGCGATATGGCCAATGACGACCTCGATCATAGGCTACATCATAGGCTACATCATAGGCTACATCATAGGCTACATCATAGGCTACATCATAGGCTACATCATAGGCTACATCATAGGCTATCCTGTCCATTGGTCTTTTTTTTTTTTGTTTCTGACACCAACGCCCTTGTTTTCGTAGAAACGGCTTCTTCAAAGTGCTTGTCTATTACGACATTTATCCAAGCATTTATGAGAATGTCCAACAATTCCTTTAAAATCACTTAGTTTCAAACTATTAGAAGCTTCACTGATCCGAGTCATCAACGTTTCCTTCTCAAGAAATTTGTTTCATTTCCACCAAGATAACTCCATACGACTCTGTTTGGAGAGTATAAATTTCGCTTCCCAGTTGCTTGATGATCTATTCAGGTAACTTGCCATATCTCTTTGGAGATATCTTGCAACAAAGCATCTCCAATGGCTGGAACCATTGAAGCAACCTTTCCCGGTAAACTTGCTATTCATCGGCGTGGTTTTGGGTTCTTTGAAAACTGGAATTGTAAAATCCTTGACTCCAGTTTTGGAGTTTTATTTGAAGAGACCTGAATTTGCATTGCATTTGTATTGAACAAAAAATTCTACAAATACTTGAGTATGGGGCGGAATAAAGGAGCTCTTTTGTGTATTTATTAAAAAACCTAGTGTCCTTGAATGCTCTATCACTTGAAAACAAAAAGATCTCATCCTTTTCTTCGTTTTTACCAAAATACAGGTACCGTCCATATAGAATACCAAACGAATATCTTTCTTCCTGAGAAGTTCGATTGCGTAGCGCATCAACTTTGTAAACACTTGCGATGCTACGCTTAATTCAAATGCTAGTGATCGGTATTGATAAACTGTGTTATATATTCGAAGGTCAAAAACGGTCGTGACGTCGGATGAATTGAAATAGCCACATACGCGTCATTCAGGTCGATCCTGCACATGAAGTCATCCTTCTCGATTAGCTCGTGCAGTGCTGGGACGACTTCCACCTTAAAATAATGGCGTTGCACAAATTTGTTTAGCTTTTGGCAACCCAATATATGTCTCCTCTTGGTGGATTTCTGAATAATGAAAAAATTCGACAAATAATCTCGGATCTATAATGGAGCTACTTCGATGACTCTCGATTGTAAGAAGGTTTGGATTGTTGTATCCACTGCTAATTGCTCTTCCAAAGATAAATTTAACCGATTCTTACGCCAAGGTGTTGGCTGTTTGGTCCATTGGATCTGCTATACTTGTTGGAACTTGGGTGGCGATGGTGATGGAGGCTGTGTTGCATGGTTTGTTGATTGGCTTGGGGTCGGCCGATCTTGGCTGTGGGAGTTGCGACCTCACAATTTCCATAAAAAACACTTTATTTTTCGTCTTTTATTCAATAACCCATTTCCTCTTCCGTTGAAGAATCTTCGATCCCTAAAGCCTCCTCCATAGTTATCTCGTTTTGTGAAGATAGCACCTTGCAAGATAACTTGGTTATGTCTTGCTTTATAGATTTTTTCAACGGTTTCTGCGTCCAAATCATAACGTTTTTTATTTGGCTCATCTTCCACCAAGTAACAGTGGTTGTCTGGAAGTTCGAAATTTTTAAGAGTACCTCTTTTAGATTCTTTGCCCATCTCCTTGCTGGTGTAAAATCCGTAGACTACACGTCGGCGGAGTTATTCAATGTTCCTGAGGAGTTCTTCGTTTTGATTTTCATATGCTTGTCATATGCTATTATAGATATTGGCACGAAGACGTTCAGCGCCTTTGTACTTGGAGCTGACATGCTGGTAGACATCAACCTTTCGTTTCTTAAGCTCTTGGGCAAATTCTTAGCTAGAGGTCTCACTTGTTGTCTATTCTTCACCTTCAATTTTTGGAACTTCGCGAACAAATCGTCGAATATCTGTTTGTATAGCACTGGACGAAGACTCATCCGGCCCTTGTTGTATATCATGGTAAAGGGGAAGCACTGGTTCGTTCAGCTTCCCCAAGCTTAAGCTTCTTGGTAAACTCTTTAAAAAATTGTTCCATTTCAGTTCTAGTGTAGATTTGCTCATTATTATTCAAAAGGATACTTTGTACCACGATGCGCGGCTTTAAGAACGATTTTTTTATAGGTGCTCACAATAATTTGCTCTTGGTACTGTCCGTTTCATTAAGCCAACCCAACATCAGTAGCAATGGCAACAAACCGCTCAACAAGAGGATCTTGCAAGAGTTGTTGTTGGCTTTTTGATGGATGAGGAACACCAGCCGCTTGATCCAGACACGAACGATGAAGGGTCCAGCATGCGACACCTCGATATCAACAAGATCACTCATTTTACATTAAAGGATCTCATCTTTAGTCGACTCCAATCCAACTCGCAGACAGCAGTCATTGCGACATTGAAACTACTAAAGACGCTCGTGATGAACCATTGTCGATACGCTCTTCGTCTACTCTCTGTCGACCCTGATATCAACAAAAAGGCGACGACTGTCTCTCATCACCTACGTGAGGTCGAATTGTATTTTTCACTTATCATCGCCATCGACTCGACACACGCCAAGGACATCCTCTCGTCTGGGTATGAAGGCTACCTTCGTGATATTGAAGCCATCATCGACAACGACGGATGCTATCATCATCTAAAACCTTACAACGACCGTTCTCGATCGGGCGTAAAGGAAACGCCTAAGACCAAACGACGAAGAAGTTTCAAGTATGGACAGCGCTACGAAGATCTCAAGAAGGAAGAGGATGAGCGAAAACGACAGGCAAGAGCTGCCAAACCACTCTTTAGACATCGTATTCGTCCTTCAGATCAACTTCTGCAGATCCTTCTAAGCCTTCTCAGTCACTTCTTCACGCAGTCGGCAGAACTCAATCTCGCACTGACAGGCGTCATCACCGCACTCGCTCTTTGTCCCTATCGTAGTCTGGAAGGATGGATTGCGTTTAGCGAAAGCGACCAGACCAGTCCGGATGATGTCTTGATCCTGAACCCAAACGGACAGGCTACGGCCAGTCAACCCAAGATCCGCAGCCAAGATATTTATGCTCACTTTGAGGCGACAGCACCTGTGGACGAGGATGACGAAGAGGATGATCGAAGCATTGATTTTGGTGCAGAAAGAGAATCTGCCAAGGTGACACGACCTACCTTTTTCAAATCGTATCCCCCTTTCTTTACCCTCTTGCGCACCCTGACACAGCAAATAGACTATTACCGATCAGAGATACCAGCCTTTGATGCCCTATTGGAAGAGCGCCGTAATGCGTTGATCACGGGAGAAGTGTCTTTTATAGACCGAAAGCTCATGTCTCCATCCAGTTCGACAACAACAAACGTGTCGCGCAGTAACCATGTATCAACTCAATTCAACCGACGACCTTCTGTGCTGCGACCGACCTCGACCGAGACACCAGCACTTAGTCCCTCTTCATCTTCATCCACTATGGTCGGCTCTCGTCTCGGTCATGGATCACAAATCAATATGACAGCAGTGATGAATAATCCGATGTCGCCATTGGCTCTTCACATACGAAAAACAACCTCTGTGCGCATCCAGCCTCTGTTTCCTTCCCATTTTGTAGATGAACGAGAAGAGCCAATCTTGGATCTTGACGATGAAGATGAACATACGTTTGCGCCCAAGGCAGGCATTGATCCTTCCAAGGCAAAGAAACGACACGATAAGAGCACAGAGATCACCTTATCTATGCTTTTGAATAATGTGGTCATCCTTGAAGAAAGTATAAAGGAGCTTGTTGCTCTCATGCAGGTCAGGCGTAGTTTGGGCATTGATGAAGTTACCTATGTTTAAAGTGTAAAGAGTGTATTGTATAATAAATAGTGTGATCATGGGATGTTGTCAACTTTTTGTGTTTGTGAATTGACCCTGCAGGATTGTTTAAATGTTAAGCACAGTAACATATGACCTCAAAGGAGTATTGTGTTCAAATGCACTATGTAAACCCTTAAATAAAGCGTGTGTCTATGTTTATCCGATATTCAAATATAAATAGCACTGCAGTCGGTTTAGTATATAGACTATATACACGTGTATTGCTGCCACTTGTTGTTATGCTGAGGGTGAATGCGTCCAAGCTGAAACACTTTGTCTCCTTGTCTACCACATGAAGATGATTCTTTTTTTCTTTAGGCCATGGTTGCTTATAAAGTACATTCTATAATTTATTGCCATGGTTACTTCTTTTTTCTTTTTCTTTTTCTTTTCTTAAATTGATTTATTAATGGTTGTAGAACTGAACATTGAAATGATATCTATCTTATTACTTGTTAAAAGGGTTGCATAATGACAATCCTTTCTTGTCAAACAGTAATTGAATGACCGACATTACGCACCGTTTCTATTTTACGCCACAGAAAACAAATTCGGTCTCGTGTAGCCAATGTCTCTACTATGTCTTTTTTTTTCTTGTCTCTCTTTCTTTTTCTCTTTGGGGGAATGTCCCAAGGAGATTTTTTTGCATCCTTTCTAGAATATGTTGGCTGGTCAGAAACGAAGCGAATGGAACGTTCGTATTTCTAATTCATGGCTAAATTCATTATGGCCTACGCAATATTAAAAAGAGATCTAAATTCAGTCAGCCTATTGGCTGATTGTATTCCCATTCAACAATGGAATTGGGGGATCCTTTTTTATATTTTGGAAAAGCATGCCAACTTTTCATTTCTTTTCCTTTTTTAACTTTTTTCCTATTAATTGTACCGAATGGATGGATTATTTGACAAGTTTGGTAGACCCAAAACTAAATCAAGAAGCGCACAGTCAACTCCATCACCCAAGAGTCGATCGGTGAAGCGAATGCTTAGTATAAAGCCTAAAGCGAGTGGTAAGTTTTTATATTTTATAATGTACTTGCTATGTTGGTTACACACACCGTATAGTGTCCCAAAAACAAATTATTACAAATAATGATACCTTTGAAACTGGTGCTGCAGAAATACATTTTGCACAAGACCAAGGAATACCATCAGAAGAGGAGGTCAATGCCTTATTTGACGAAATGCTAGTAAGTTTCTTTTTACATGTCCCATAGAACTGATTGCTGAAATGTTCTAATTAAGGAACGTCGTGGCATTCACGATCCCAACATGAAGCAAAGTATGGAGAAGTGGGGTCTCGAGAAAAAATGGCTTATGATAAATCAGGAGCTACAGGCTGAATTACTGGTATCAGGAGCGAAGCCAAACAAGATTAAAATTGCAAGTAGGGGTAGTATCGATATAACCACAAAACAACAGCCACCCTCCAGCCGCAGTAGCATTGAACTACAGCCACAAAAATCACTGTCAACACCTACACGTATCATTGATAGGCCTCATGCGATCATTACCACTAATTTGAATGCAAGCCATAGTACCATCACTTCCTCATCTGGCGCGAGAACGCCTTTAAGATCAAAAAGCATCTCTCAATCACCCATACATACCGGTTCAAAAGACCATTTTTTTAATGCAGAGACATCTGATCAGAACTCACCTGAATTCTTTATCAAAAAGTTTTTGGATCCAAACTTGCGTTCAGTGACAACAGCTATTGCTGCAAGATTGGAAGTGTCACTAAGGACACGATCTATAGAGTAAAGAATGTGTGATAAGGGGAATTTAAAGAGCAATTAAAATAACTTTTTTTTATAGTTGGGTCTCGAAATATATCCAACTAAAGGGGTTTCATGTACTCTCTTATGCCCTTGATTTCTTAAATCATACAACCGAATATAGAAAAGATGTTACACTAGAACTAGAAGTGGAAATTGTCAAATGTATCAAGGCTATCGTCAACACAAAGGCAGGCAAAAAGGAAGCCATGGACCATCCAGAATACATCCATACTGTCATATTCTCAATACTCTGCCCACAATGGCAGACAAAAAAAACCGTATGCGAGTTACTGGCATTCTTATGCTACTCTGATGGATATGAACATGTCGTACATGGATTTGAAAAGCTGAGGAAATTTAGGAAGGACTTGGGCTTATTCGATTCATGGATGAAAGATTTTGAAAGAACGATTACAGATAGAGGGCGCAGGATACCCGGAAACCATCTAATAGAATATGCTGTAAGTTATGCTTGTTTGTTAAAGTACGAAAACTAACAGAAATGCATTTAGATATCTAACATGATTCTAGTAAATGCATTAATCAAGATACCCGCGGACGTAAACAACCGCATCTATATGGAAAATCAGTTCAATGCATCTGGCATACAATCCATTTTACCCAAACTAAGGATATTAGAATATGATTTATTAAATATTCAAATCGAAACATTCAAAGAGACATTGGATGCCGATATGGACGAAGCCTTTGGTGAAGACATGTCACTGGCTTCTGATGTCTCACAGCCACAAGAATTATTTGATCGTGTGATTGAAAGCATATCGGAAGCACCACGAGCATCAGAACAATTCTTGTATGTGCTCAAGTATCTCTTATGGATTCATGGTAATCCAGATACAAAGTAAGCAAGAGCACCAAAAGATATATTTATTAGATATTAATATTTTTTTTGTAAAGATATTATTATTATCGCATGATTCAAATCATCATTCAGCAGATAGTCATGGATAGAAGAGATCACGAAAACACAGATAGCTTTTCTTCAACCTTTGGCTTAGCTGTAGGCACTGTCATCCAAAGTTTTAGCGAACTGGAGCGATTAAAGGATGTGGAGAGCCAATTTGAATATTTCAAAAGACAATATGAACAGATATCGGCCGAGAAGGAAAGCTTACTCTCGGAGGTCGCCAAGCTACGAATTCTTCCTTCTCAATTAGAGTTTGACAGCATGAGCCGACGTATGAACGAACTAAAAGAGGAAAATGACTCTCTGAGAGATCTGTTGAGGACTTCAAAAGAAACAATTGCTATGCTCCAATCCCGATTGGTACAAGAAGAAGGTTTGCGAAAAGACCAAGCGTCTGAGACAGTAAGTCGTATGTTTTATATGAGGCATGTTCTTACTTTTTTTTATTATTATTTCTTTCTCTTTATAGACTTCAATTTCGAAATCTCCCAGGCTTGGTAAAGGAATTATCACCTCTGGTAGTTTCATGTTTGGAAATATATTCCTACCATTGTTTAGTAAAAGACATGGGCATAAGGATAGGAAAATACATATTGATACCCAATCGCTTGAACCAGGTATATTGAATATAGTCTATGTAAACCGTAATCTCACAAGTCAACAGTAGATTCATCATCCACAGAGGCTTCTTCCAACAGAGGCTCGGTGTATTCTTCTTGTGGATCCGTGGAACAAGGTCAACCATTGACACCTCCTTCTATACCACCTCCACCCCCTCCTCCACCTCCTCCTCCTTCAGGTAAGTAAACAGCATTTCCTTTTCGATTTTACACAGATGAGCTCACGGATTGCTAAGCTGCAGGCGCCCCTCCTCCACCTCCACCGCCTCCACCACCACCTAACTCAGGTAAAAGAAGAAAATATTTATTTATATCGTTTGACTCACACATATCTCTTGCTACTTCCAGGACTTGCTCGTTCAAGTAAGCTTTATTTCTAGAGTATAACGTCAAAAAACGCGGATTAACTTTTATTTATAGATATTCCAGCACCCCCTCCTTTACCACCAACACTTGGACAAGCACGACTTCCATCCGCTCGTGTCCCAGAACCACCTGCTGTCGTCCCTCCACGCAAAGAGTTACGTCACTATCCCAACATCAAGCTCAAGAATCTTCAATGGCAAAAGATAGATGCAAGATCCACTTATCAGACTCTATGGAACATGGACAGTGAACGCCATGCGAAACTAGAAGATAAACTGGACAAGAGCGGCGTATTTCATACGATTGAAGACCTGTTCCCAGCCAAAGCCAATACGTTTCTTGAAAGAAAGCTTCAGTCCAAAAGAATGGATACTGAAAATGACTCTATTAAGTTCTTGACAAAGGAAAAGAATAGAAATATCAGTAAGTTTAGACAAATAGTCAAATACACATTTTAACCTCGTATATAGATATTGCCATCTTGCCACAGATAAAACAGCTGGGATCATTCAAGGCAACACAACAGCACATTCTCGCTATGGACGACAAATTGTGTACAGAAACCTTTTTGATCAACTTGATATCCTATATACCCCATAAAGAAGACAATTTAGATCTTATGCAAAAATACCTCAAGGCATCAGAGGACGAGTGTGCCAAGCTTGATTTACCCGAACAGTTTACGATTGAGATGATGAAGATTTATCGATATGAAATTCGGTTAAAGTACATGCTCTTTAGAGTGCAGTTTTGGGAGCGATTTGATAGATTGAAGACAAGTCTGGCTACTGTCTTGAGAGCATGTGACGCATTACATGACTCAGAGGCTCTAAGAGAGTTATTGTCCATCATTTTGATGCTGGGCAATTACATGAACTCATCGAGTCTTCAAGGAGGTGCATTTGGTTTCAAGATTGCTAGTATCAATAAGGCAAGTTTCTTTTTGGGGGAAAAACGGAAAACATTGAGATTAACACTTGAAACTTTTTGTTTAGCTCATTGATACCAAAGCAACTGACTCTTCACAGTTGACCTTGCTTCATATCGTGATTGGTGTTGTACGTACACAGTTTCCTCATGTATTGAAATTTACTGAAGACATCAAGGATGTGCCACAAGCAGCACGAAGTAAGTGTGATCTTGATCAATATATATGATTTTCTTATTGATCCTTGTTCTAGTTATGTCGAGCATTACTGATATTGTTCAAGAATATACAGATATGCGCCAAGGACTCAAGCAGCTCGGAATAGAACTCGATGCTCACTGGAGGGAAAAAGGTATTGATTTCAAACGAGACAGATTTTATGCCGTCATGACAGAGTTTCGTAACTCCGTCATGGAACGATTTGAGGAGATTGAGGCACTTTACGTCAACATGGATGTCAAGTGGAAGAACGTCATGATTTACTATGGAGAAAACCCTCAGACGATGAGACCTGATGAATTTCTTGATATATTTGCTCGATTTCTTTCCAACTGGAAGACGTGTGCTCTTGAAGAGTTACAGTACGCAGAACGAAAAGAACGAGAAGAAAGGCGATTGCAGGAATTGGAAGAAAGACGACTGAGATCGCTACAGTCAGCAAAGGATACGTATATGGCACAAGAACAGCAATGTGAAGAAGGTTTACTTGTAGATGACCTCTTGGCTAAGCTTAGATCAGGCGAATCGCTGACTAAAACGAGAAAGAGCCGTGTTCGTAAGAAGAATATGAAACGTCCAGAGTCATCTTTCAAGGCAAGATTTAGCGTCTCTTCTGCTACTTCTTCACTTCGCAGAAATAGTACATCGACTATCAATTCCTTGATGCCCATCTCTGCTGAAGACTTATTACGTACCTTGCAGCAAGATGAAGAATAAATAAATAAAAGCTTTTGAACCTGATGACACAATTTTGTAACAAGCTGTTGTGTGACGGAAGCAGGAGTTTAATTTTTTTTTTTTGTTATTTTTCTCTCTTTTTCTCTCTTATCTCTCTTTTTTTCCCTTTCTTTGTTAATATAAAATGGCTTCTGGTCGCAAAAAGGTTCTCTTGAAGGTAACGTCTATAAAGACAAGCTTTAATATAAACAGAGCTAAATAGGCTTATTGTAGGTTATTATTCTCGGTGACAGTGGGTAAATATGGAAAGAGGGGCTTATTGTTACTCATGAGACACTAATGACTTAAAATTGTAGAGTTGGAAAGACTTCCTTGATGAACCAATATGTAAATAAAAAGTTTTCAAATCAGTACAAGGCTACCATTGGTGCAGACTTCTTGACTAAGGAAGTAATGGTAGATGACCGTTTGGTTACGATGCAGGTATGTCAAGCAAAAAGACCCTCTTACAAAAGGGCTGCATTTTAAAATACGTTTTAGATTTGGGATACAGCAGGTCAAGAACGATTCCAATCTTTAGGCGTCGCATTCTATCGAGGTGCTGATTGTTGTGTACTCGCATATGATGTTAACAATAGCAGAAGCTTTGAAGCATTAGGTAAACATTATTTGTAATGTACAATCTCTCTTTTTAAGCATGTTCTCTCTTTTGCTTTAGACCAATGGCGTGATGAATTTTTGGTCCAAGCTTCTCCCAGAGACCCTGATCATTTCCCTTTTGTGCTCCTTGGTAATAAGATTGATGTTGAAGAAAGCCGAAGAATGGTATCTCAAAAACGCGCTATGGCTTGGTGTCAGTCTAAAGGCAACATCCCGTAAGTGATATGATGGATCAGTGTAGTAGAATGCGCGACTCATCAGTATATTAGTTACTTTGAAACTTCTGCAAAGGAAGCTATCAACGTTGAACAGGCTTTCCAGACAATTGCAAAGAATGCTCTATCTCAAGAAACAGATGTTGACATGTAGGTGTTGTCAGCTTTTAAATATCTTTCACACTGACCTTGCATCCATAGTGATTTTCCTGATACCATTCAAATACCTAGTGGAAGACAAGAACATGATCCAGGATGCGCTTGCTAAGTCAACAATCAGATGTAATAAAGAATAGTGTAATAAATGTCTCTCAGTATCGCCAGTGATATATTACTGCATATGTTGGAGTATAATGTCACATGATCCAGTTGTTCTTGCAAGTCGAATATCGCTAGTTTTCTTGTTTTTCTTGGCACACAAAGGTCTTTTGAAATATAAAATACGTTATAAGTATGCTTTCGAGAACGTAAACAATGAGATGATCGCTATGCAACAAAGCTCAAACAAGGAAGCACTTGCACTCAGCCTGTTCGATTTAAATAAGGACTTGGTAGCATTGTATTTTTTTATAAACATCAGCCTTACAAAAGTGAAGCTTGTTATGTCATCTGGATACAATTCTATTTCGAGAACAACTTGTCATGTCCGCTTCACTTGCAGAGAAAAAGCTGCAACTTTACACCATAAACACGGAGCTGTAATAACAAGAAAAAGGTGGTGCTACAAGACCAAGAACAGATCCAGTGGCTCACTTAACTCTCATCAATATTTTATTACATCAGAAACATCAACATCAGCAGCTCCAGAGTGACCTTATCACTACTGACCCTTCTTCCATATCACGAATTCCAGAGAAACTCTTATATGTAATCGAAAGCATGCAAATAGAAACCCTTGGGAGCAGAGTAATGTATTAATGAAGTGAAGTATGAGGGCTAAAAGGAGACCTATGTTCTTTATTTAGTAGATGATTACTTTATGATTGTGGCAATAAGCTGATTCCATGATACTTTATTGATCAAATTACACATGTGTTCTAAGAGAGAAGGTGTTCATGTACTAGATGATTTGAAACTTTACTAGTACTCTTTGCTTCGTATCCACACATAAAAAGAGCATTATTTATTATTTAGTTTGGTCATCACGTTCTAAAGTGGTACTAACAGCTAATCAGCGTGATATCTATTGATCACTATAGAAACAGAGTAGCTACACAAATGTACTTAAGTTCTAGACTGCTTGAGTGGTATTAAAAAGTTTCTTTTGATTTTATAGTAAAATACGCCCCTTTTTCAAGCAAATTATCTCGGACAACACTGTTAAACCTATTTAACATTATTATTTATTCATTCACTTATTTAAAGTACACTGTTATGGAATATGTTTATAAATAAAAGCACGCTTCCTATCAGCAAAAAATTCATGCAACCAATTCTGACTCAGGACCTTCCTTTTTTGTCTTTCAAGGTCACAGATGTAAACAGACAAAAAAGTATAAAAGAAGGTCTTTTTTCGCTTTTTTTTCTCTCAAGCTTTTCCGGTTTGCCCGGATTCTGATAGTAACCTTTATGATGCTTAAAGAAGTAGGTGGCTTTTCTCTCAGAAGGGAGGGAATAGCTTATCCCAATTTTTCTCTTTTTAAGGTCACAGATGTAAACAGACAAAAAAGTATAAAAGAAGGCCTTTTTTCACTATTTTTTCTCTCAAGCTTTTCCGGCTTGCCCCAATTTTGATAGTAACCTTTATGATGCTTGAGGGAGTAGGTAGCTTTTCTCTCAGAAGGGAGGGGCTAGCTTATCAAACTTTTTATAAAGTTACTTTAGTGATTCTTTAATTACTTCGGAAACGCTGCCCCTTGTGATCGTGGCTACAATGCAACAGGGTGAACTATAAACTAATGTAAATGAAAAAAATCTTAGTGACTACTAGTAATTAAGTTATGAATTGATTGTCGTGGCAAGTTTTGTTGCATGTAATGTCTATCCGATAAAGTATCCCTTAACCAGCTACACCCTTTTCTATTCATTGATTATATTCAACAGCAAATGCTTAAACACGTAAAAGAGAATTCATAATATAAGCAAGGCTGACTAACACATTATCAGCTAGTCAGCCAAAATTGCACAAGAACTACAAAAGAGTATTTACATACAGCTTGGTCATACTTTCTTACTACTGTCAGAGGAAGGAGTACATAGGGTATATGTAGTGTAGTCAGTAAGAGTGAGTTGTCTGAACAATAGATTTTCCTTTCATTATAGAACAGAGAGATAAAAGCACTAACACGTAATCAAAAGATGATTGTACTTACAAGGGATCTCAGAGTCTGTCTTAATGCGCAGTGTTTTATAGACAGGCCTGAAAACATTAGTCAGTTGCTTGTTCTCAGAAATGGTACATTAAATTGCTGGCGACACTCTTTTATTCATTTGTATGCTGAAGAGCAGTGCTTTATTTAATGGAATTTCTGGTGTTTTACTTGTTTACTTGCTCTAAAATAAAGAACATCAGTCTTTGTCGCTTATTACTGACGAAGGGCATATGACGCACAAAAAGAATTATCAAGCTTATTGATTTTTTTTATTATAATATGACCACATGTCCAGATGATGATCCTTGCTCGAGAAATCTCATAAATGCTTAGTTTAAGAGATACCTCCAAGAATTTACATAATAATGTCTATTATAATTTGTTTATCGGGCCAATGAGGTCACCTTGGGGAGAATGAGCAGCAAAGCCAACAGCGACAAGAGAAGCGCAGATAGTAAGAATAACAAGCTTGATTTGCATTTGAGTAAAAAAAAGTATAAAAGCCAAAGAACTGTTGCATCTTCTCTTTTTTGCGTACAATATTGACCTTCTATTATATTAATTAGATTCATGTAGACACTGCTGTCATGACTGTTTACTGTTGGCTGTAAGCATATTTAACTAACCTTGGTTAGATAGGTGTACTCTGCTTCTTTTTGTTTTGTTGATCATTTATTCATTAATGTATAAGATGCAGGAAGCATGTATATCCAACTTCATTTCGCGTAATGATCCGCTGAAAAAATGCGTGTAAACATGCTGTTGTGGCTTCTTGCATTTACATGACGTGGATACGCAAGCAGATTTCTCTTCGTGTCCTTATGAATAATAATCCTAAAGGATTAATCATCCTCAAAAGCTGAGAAGTGCCCTCAAAGGCCTGCTCTTACTCCACATAGCCTGACAACAATAGCTAGGCACTTATAATCACCATACGACTATTTCGACTTTGTAAGCTCGTATCGTGACAGCCAACAAAAGGCCAAATGTTATATTTTCGCATTGATACTCATTTAAAAGAGTACTGAAAGAGCTTTTTGTACATTATAAGTATAAGAGAATCTGCTATAGCATTATGTCTATAAATACGCTGTATTGAATAACTTATTACTTCTTTACTTCTTGTTTATTTATTGTCCATTTCAAACCTCGTTCTATGATTCTTTAACAATAAAGGATACCCTAATTATTTGAAAGAAACCTTCACACTATAGAAAAATTTAGTCCGAATATACAGCTTTATACAGATTTATACAAAGTTCGTTTTCTGTAGTGTAAATACGAAATTATGAAACATTGGCGCATTACACGATTAAGTGACCTTGGTTGTTGTGCTACATAAAAATAATATAATTGTATAAAATAAAACGATATTAATCTCCATCTTCTAGAGTGAGACCAAGTAAGGAGATGAGGAGGGTGGGAGTAACCAAGACCACTTACTCATGTAATGTGTCCAATACTTCATGACTTCGTATTACATTACATACACCTTAGCTAGCTTTCTTTTCAGGACTTGAATTGTTTTTAATAGCTGTTCAGCGAAACTTTTGCGCTTTTCAGCGATTAGGAAGGAATTTCCTTCGTTCGACTCAATTGCTTATTTCTTCAATACTTTGGTCGATAATTTGAATTGTTTTATTATCTTGTTTTTTCTTCAGATTAGCCTTGCAAAGTGAGTATAAAAAACGCACTGTTGAAACGACGTTATATTTTAATAAACCTAAGCTTTGAGATAAAGAGGTGACAAAGTAAGCAAGTGTGACAAGCTGATTCATTTCCACTTTTATATGATTTTCAATTGATTTTAACAACATAAAATGTGCCACCTGACCCCAAAATACACATGGAGTTTCTAGCAAATATGAGGCTTTAATATTTGGCAGGACTTTTTTTTTTTTCAAGTTCCTTGTTAGAAAACTTTTCAACTACAGATACAAGAACCAAAGGCAATACTTTGTAACATTCAAGCATATAAGTACAATATTGTATTCATCTTATCATGAACGCTTGATCAATACTGTTTTGGATTTCAACCAGGATTGGAGGTTGAGCATAACTAACTTCAGTAGGTATATACAGGACATCTGATTTCATTCTGTCTGACCATTCTGTTGAAGCAGATTGATATGAATAATCTGTAATGTTTGGTCCTATAAAAATTAACACCTGTAAGTAGAACTAATTCGATTCATACACAAAAAATAACAAAGTTACCAAGCAGTTCATTAATGATAATGTTTTTTACAGTTTTATCATTCATTACAAGTTTACTAGTAGTATCTGTTCCTGATCTTCGTTCAAATAGCAAATGTAAATTGTCTTCACTATCATTCACTATGGCCATTTTTTTGGTAAACACTTGGTGAACTCAAAAATGCACCAGAAGTTAGACTAATACTACGGGCGCTACCTCTATTCACTACTTGTATTGAATTCCAATAAAACTATTCAATGTATAACGTCAAGCTAAACATAAGTTTATGAAGTTACTATCTTGAATTGTATCTTTCCAAGAAGAAGAAAGAGATAAAAAAGAAAATATTGCTATTTCTTTATTCTAATTTTATGTTGTCAGTCTGTCAACCAAGGCCACTTAGCTCACGTGTAATTATGATAAATCCGTATCTTATGTCAGAGAGAGTGAACTAGACAACCTTAGGCTAGGCAGAGACTTTGGTGGTGTGAAGCTGTAAAACAATCTCACATGCGGCGCTCCAAGGAAGTGCTCGTAGCATTCACCTATTTTTGAATGCACCAAGTGTTTGCCTTTTTTTTTTTATTTTGAAAGAAAACGACAGCAACAACGTCATCAACATCGACGCCACTTGTAATGAATTGTATTGTTCAGCGGAGAAGAGGACAGTATTAAGGGCTTGCAATATGATCTAGAGGAGGTAGGACTTAAAGAGATAAGAACGAGACAAGACACAAATAAGAGAGGACAAGAATAGGCTGGGAATATCTAAGGACAGAAGTTATATTGTGATAATTAACTGAAGTTTTATTTACGTTTTGGGTGTGGTCTCTAAGAAAAACGAAAAAGAAAACCGACACTGACATCGACACCAATAACATGAAACTATTTAGTAAACTATACTCTTAAACGGCAAAAGTCATAAACTGGTTAGAGTATAAAGTCAATAGGAATAATGATCCTGATACAACAAGACATTTATCTTGAAGCATGAAAAAGTAACTTTTTTTTATTGACCATTGTTGCTACCACCAACACCCTAAGATGAAAAGAATATCAGCTAATGCAATGGTAATTTATCAATTTAAACCTTACCACGTGATCAAAAGCAAACCACCAAACGAGAATTGCAATCATCACGCAAATACCAATGCATAAGAAAAAACAACACCATTTTTTCTATGGGATTACGTTCAGTTAGTGTATATAGTTGCTTTTATTATTATTATTCTTACAGTTCGTGTTGATTTAGCAGTTTGGATAGCTTTAGCAATGAATTGATTGCCTTCTTTAATCTTTGTTTGCGTCTGCTCTGCATTAGCTTCAACTGTATTCAGTGTCTCTCCTTGCTGCTCGACCATCATGGACATGTCCATAAAGAGCTGATGTAATTCCTATATGTATACAGTAATTAGTATAGTTACCATCTTTTTAGGTTATTGCTCCATGTTTACAATGATTGTTTTTTCTATATGCTTGATATCATCATGCCGCGACTGAACCTCTGATAGGACTGCTTTGGCCTGTCCTTGTCTACCCGCATTCATAAGCTACACAGGCATTAAGATATTGAGATGGTTTTAAAGAAGGAAGACTTACTGATTGTGCAAATACTTGAGGCGGTCCATCAGAGTCAATAATGTCATCCACTTCTTCCTGGCTTGCCTCTGGTTTAACTAATCAAACATGGGTTAGGAATTAGGTTGGAACCTTTATTTGTTTACCAATTCTTATTTGTCGTTCGATCTGTTGTCGATACTTCAACTGATAGTTACGCTCTACATCCTGATATCTTTGGATAGTATCTAGAAATCGCTTTCTCAAGGCTCCAGTCTAGAATAAAATCTGGATGAGTATACAACGGACATGTCAACCTGAGTTCTTTTTCTCTTTCTGAACCTGTGTTCTGCGCATCTGTGTATCTGAATTATTTGGTAGCTGATTATTCCCGCTCTGCATTTCTTTACATTATATGAGTACACAAAAGGAGGCCTACATAAATAGAGAACCGACCTTGTATCATTGCCTTTACATTAAAGTTCGTTCTCTGTGCGCTTGACTTCATCCTTTCTAAATCATTTGACGCTTGTCTTGACTGTTGGTCATTAAGGCTTTGTAAAAGCGTACTATGCAAGTTTGCAATTTGGTCGATTTGATAATTGAGCGAATCAATTTCGTTTTTCGCTCTATCTAACTTTTTTTAAACATGGATAATTAGTTATATAAGCATAGCACTATATATTTTTATACCTGTTCAAAGAACACTTGGATGTTGGTGATATCTGGGCTTACTTGACTCATCTCATAAGTATTGTTGTTACTACCACCGCCTCGAGGTGAATATCCCCAGTCGTGAGGTTTTTGATATTGATCATTATTACTAATGGATGGGTTTGCCACTCATACGTCTATCATACTGTCAATTTACACTTACTTGGGCTAATAAAAAAGTTAGCTTGTACTACAATGCATCTTGTCTTATGCATACACTTTTTAATTCTGCAGTTCTATCTCGACTAAAGGAATATGACATCTCAGCACACGTGTTTTTTGTAAAATAAAAAAAAAAAAAAAGAAGAGAATGACGATCTATAAGCATTCCTCTTTCCTTTTTTTTTTTTATTTTCTGATTGATCTACGTCACAACGGTCTATACGCATTATATTTTTTTGAGATGGCTATTATTACAAGTGATACATGTTGCACTTACAAATAATAAATCATATATTCGCTTCCAAAAGAGATGCTATAAGGCATTCAAGGGCTTATTAAACAAAAGAGATATAAATGCACTAAAGCATCCATAAGCAACAGTCTCCCCGTCTGTGGGCCAATCAATAGAAGGCCAAAAAACTTTATTTATTTGAATGAGCGGTGTGACAGATATAACACAATGTCTTCAGGATTTAAAAAGCCTATCAAACGGTCACATAGACGGTTAGTTCAACATGACGATTCTGACGCTGAGCAACAAGTGACAACTGTAGAAGAGCTCATACAGAGAAAGAAGAACAAGCTAGAAAGAGAAAAAACATTAGAATTACTCTTTCAAGAGTTAGAACAAGAACGCATCAACCAAGAAGAAGTTGACATTTATGGCTATCCCATAAAGCAAACACCAACGGAAGATCTGATATCAGTAGTCGATGTTCAGTTTGATGACAACTATATTATGGAAAGTTATACAGAAGAAATGGAGCAAGAAGGATTGGAGATTAAGGATCAAGTCAAGGACTATTTAGCACCTGAAGAGCAAGAACATTTGGACAATGTCTTTCAAGCTATCAAAGAAACAGAAGAGATTCATAGACTAGAGAAAGACTGGAACCGACCGTTCTTTAAGGATGGCATAAAGTATATAAGAGAACCCTGCTTGATCTCTAGAGATCTATTTTGCGGACAAAAGGAAATTCACCTATCAGAGCTTTCTGCGAGTAAATAGGGTATATGTGTATATGAGCTACTCAACTGACTTTTACTTTTCTACAGCAACAGAGGGAAGATCATTTTTACTTGCGTCTGGTTGTATGAAGGATTGGCATAATTCAGGTTGGATGTGTCCTCATTATGTCTATCAGTGGTTGTTTGAAGTTGGTATATAGACAAATATGTGTATTCATACAAATATATGATAACCCTATTATACAGTTGCTTTAGATCAAGATAAGGCTACAGCTAGAAACGCACTCTCTACATTACTTATGCTATGGTCACATCCTGATGATAGAAACGGGTCAGAGTCACGAGAAATATACGAGCAGCGATACATCAAATTGGATGTATTCAAATCAGTACTTATAGCGTATCATGCCATACCAACAGAATTAGTCGACGTCATTTCCATGGATACAGAAGATCAAATGATGAGCGAGACCATTCCAGTTGACTCACAACATCGATCTAGACATATACCACTTTCTCAGTTAGGATTGATGATCAAGGCCTTTGGATTTTCCATCAGACTGTGGAAGGAAGCCTATATGCCATGGGAAATAAGATACACAATTAGGATTTTATTACAATTATCGCTTGACAAAGCAGGTCATTTGGTCATACAAGAAATCCAAACGAGCATAGATAATTGTCTTTCTGCCCTTAAAGAGACTTGGAAGATTGATGTCAAGAATATAGCAAATGACATATGTGATATGGTCACGACTTCCAAACAGCAAGTGCATCTATTAGATACACTAAAGACCGTCTATGACAGGTCTCGATACTTACGCAGAGTGATCGGGATCACCTGCTTAGGTCGATACTTGGAAAGAGATGTCCCTGGAAGTATAGATAATATTCCAGTAGATGAAAGCTTAATCAAGCAAGCAGCCCTGATGTTTAGTTATCCAGAAAAGCCCTTTACACGAAGTAACTTGGATTATGATGAGTGCTGTATACGTATTGCGATGTTGGATGCAGCCATTGGTACAGATGATGACGAAATAAGACGTGAAAGGGTAAATAAGAATATAGATTGGTAACAAGATAATAATTACATTTATTAGGAGACAATAATTCAAATTGCGGATGAACTTCGATTGATCGGCTTACAAATAGGTAAAATGACAACATAGCATTCAACACAGACGTCACACTCACCCTTTAATATGTATCAGGTGCTAAACTAGGAGTGATGAAGAAAACGATAGCAAATGAAATGGTTCAGAGAGTATGGAGTAGGATATCTTTTATTATTGGAAGAGATGACAAGATCGAATCCTAAATTCGGTGGTTTTTTATTATTTCTTTTATTTTTTTCACTTATTATTATTTAAAAATGGTACTCTATTGTAAAAAAAAAAAGACATACTTATATCATACTATTGCTTTATATAAAAGAAGAAGAGTTAATAATAAATAAATACTTTATAGACAGAGATGAAGGAATACCTTTTCAAGATCTTGGTTGTAGGTGATCTCGGTACAGGAAAGACATCAATCATACGTCGTTATGTTCACAATATATTCTCAACAAATTACAAGTCTACTGTAAATATTATAGAATAAATAAGAGAAAGAGTACTTATGGTTATGATAGATTGGTGTAGATTTTGCACTTAAAGTCATTCAATGGACTCCTGACATCATTGTTCGACTTCAACTCTGGGACATTGCGGGACAAGAAAGGTTTGGAAATATGACGCGAGTATATTATAAAGAAGCACTTGGAGCTATAGTTGTATATGATATCACGAGACCACAGACGTTCGAAGGCGTAACAAGATGGAAAAAGGATATTGATGCAAAGGTTGCATTACCCGACGCATGGGGAGGAGGACAAATTCCGGTTATTTTATTGGCTAATAAGGTATACTTTCACTTCTCCGATTATACTTCCCAAAACTCACCTTACTTTAGACGGACTTGATCCAGGAGGGACATGGACAACCTGTCAACCCAGCAGAATTAGATAGTTTCTGTAGAGAGCATGGATTTATTCAATGGTAAAAAAAGTATTATTAAAAAAGAAAGTCAGCATCTCATTTAATTTTAGGTTTGAGACATCAGCCAAAGACAATAGCAACATTGAAGAAGCCACGCGTTGTTTAGTATCTGCTATTGTAAAACTAGAAGAAGAGAACGTAAATAATACTGTATCTGATGAAGCCTCGGTGAAGCTTGGACAGCAACAGCGACAACAGAACAATGGGTGTTGTTAAATAAATCATAGCATACACTTTATTCGCACACTGATAGTATGACAACAAATAGTGCTAAAAGAGAAGCTCAACAGAAGCAAACAAGTGAGATATAAGAAAAATGCTCATTAAATATTTGTATTCAAAAGAGAGTCTATAAGAAAGAAAGAAACAAGAAAATGAGTAAACTTTAAAAGAGACTATTAAGTATATCATGGGTGGAGCCAGCAGTAACTGGTTCGGAGGAGGGAAGACGAAAGGCGATATTAAGGAGGCGTATAAGAATATTGGATGGGATCAAGCTTGGTACAAAAGCCCACTAGCACCGACCACATTAAACGAATAAGTGAAGTTGCTCGGTTTGCCTTATTTTCTAGTGTTTTTCAAGAAGATAAAGATTTTCTTTTGTTATTATATGTCATCAAGTTGGAATCAATAAAGAAAAGGTTGAAAACACCAACCTAATTATTGATAGTAAATTGTGTGCAACTGTTTGCACTCTGTAAGCTGTAATTTAGGCTTTCAAAAGTCTAATCAAGCAACTTTCTATTGGCTGGGTTAGGTTTTCAAAAATCTAACCAAGCTGAGTAACATTTTATTCTTTTCCTTTCTCGCTCTTTACAGCAATGGACGATCAAGCACCGATTTATGGAATAGACAAAGGTAATTCGCGTACAAGAGTTCTTAAAATGAAAAGAAAACTAACAGAAATGACACAGAGATTCAGGCTAAAATAGTTGGAAAATACTCTTTGGAACGTGAGCAAGAGGCCAGAGCTTGGATAGAAGACCTTATTGGAGAAAAGTTTCCTTCAGATGACTTTGCAGAAAGTCTAAAAGATGGTGTTATTCTATGCAAGTAAAAATGGCACATGTATACACGTACATATGTGAGCCTAACATTGTTTACTATCATAGAGTTATTGGTAAATTAAAGCCTGGTCAAGGCAAGTTTAAGCAGTCCAGGATGCCCTTTGTTCAGGTAAAAATATATAGCAGTGCCCTCCTCATTGTGTCTAATTGATATTCTTTGACCAGATGGAAAATATTTCTATTTTCTTGAAAGGAGCAGAAGCATTAGGTGTTCCCAAGCATGACTTGTTTCAAACAATTGATTTATATGAAAAGAAGAATATGACTCAGGTATATATCAAAATGGCCTAAAGAGAGAGAGAAAAAAAAAAAAAGAGAAAACTTATCAAGTATATAGGTTGTTGATTCAATCTATGCTATTTCCAGATATGGATATAAGGCGGGAACTTGTAGTAATTACCTTGGACCAAAGCTTGCGGATAAACAAAAACCAACGTACTCAGAAGATGCCGCCAAGGCTGCTAATGCAACCTTTAACACATATCAATACGGGTATACGGGTGGAGCAAATCAATCTGGTATTAATTTTGGGCAACGACGAGATATTGCTGGAAAGGACACTTCTCAATATAAATAAACCTACCAATGTGTTGTTTATCTTGCACTGTTTAAGACCTATCACTGCGTTCAATCTGTTAATCGATAAAGAAGAAGGGGTCAATTGATATCTTCTGATTCAATCCTTGTTCTCGGCTCTTTTTATGTACAAGTCTTTTTTTATAATTACAAGCACCATAGAATAGAGAAAAGCGGAGGAGATATGAAAGAATAAGAAATAGGAGAGAGGACAAAACCTACGCTCAATTAATTGTCTATCGATGTCATTAATAATTCCGGTTATCCGCTGGATATACAGTCTTTCCGGAAAGTAAATTCGCCTGTGATCGAAAATAAATGCACCCAATGGTGAGAACAAAGTTCATGTATGAAATGTAAATTCGTCGTCGCCAAGGATATTTTCGTAGTACCAGCCTTGACATCCATGAATACACTGTATTTCCAAAAAGTAATGAGACTGAAAATCGTGCTTCCCAAATTTAGATGTCGTATTGAAACCGTTGTAACGTTATCAGAGTAATAACAAATACAGTAATATTAACAGGTGGGCTGTCTTGGAGCTGAAGCTAACCTAGTATTAGAAATCGCCCTTTTTAGTCTCTTTGTAAAAGTTTAAATTCTTTATTCGGTTTTTCCATAAAATCAGAAGAACATGTAGTCATATTTGGCAATGCATATTCTTGAATGATCACGAAGCAGATTGCTTCTATTTGACATGATTTCTTTGTCTTAGATACCCTATTTGAAAAAGAAAAACATATAAAAACTCATTTTAATTGAGTCCTTTTTTTGCTTCTTTACAGCAGTTATCAAGTGTCCCTCTGAGTGTTCAAAGATTCACCAATCAAGACTAGCCTGTCCTCATGGTCCTTGCTCTGACTCGCTTGTCCCGCCCTCTTTGCTCTCTGGTGTGTATCTGGAACGTCCCCCAGTAGCCTCTTCTGACGCCCTGGGTTCTCTCTGTCCTCCATTCCTTTTTTTTTTTTGTTTAAACTTCTCCTGGGTAGTTATCGCTACCCTCCCCAGAATGCACCTTGGTGGTAAGTAAAACTAATATTGGGATATGTGCTCTAATACTAACATACTCTTTCTCTCTTTTTCTACATATACTCATTATCTCTTTCTCTTTTGATATAATGTCGTTTTATTCAAACGTGTTTTTCTTTGTCGTCTTTTTACGAAAATATTTTTTTTTATTTTACGACAGTATTTTATAAAATTAACGTCAATAATTAATAAAAATACAGTATCATAGCTCTAGCAAAAAAACTGTGATCATAAAGTATACAAACTGATCACTTGGTACATAGTGTGATCCAAGTCTGATTTGATGGTCAGACGATATAGTCAGTCATAGAAAGTGAAAAATGGGTTTAAACACACGGGCGTTATTAATGTATTATTTAGGAAAAATTAACTGAAAAGAGCGCTTTGATTCAGAGATCATATTCCATGTTCCTGAAAACTTAATTTCTCTTTTTGCACGTTTTTTCTCCTTTAAAAAAGCATTTTTTATTTTAGGTGCTTCTTGATGTTAAATTAATTGCTAGGGAGAGTAAGATTAAGGTGTACATTATAAAATATATGTGTGGTGTATGATACAGTGATAATTAAGTGCATTCTTCTAATAAACAGCAGCAAAGCATACCAGCTAAACAAGCTGTACAACAGTCATCATCACGTCTTTGGGGTTGCTGTTGAACAATCACTGTCTGTGGAGGAGGGCTATGGAGGGAATGGGTTTAGCTTTGGATATTTATGTTTATTCTCTATATTTACGCAGGTTGATAGTAACCGCCTTGTTGTGGAGGAGGAGGATAGTAACCACCTTGTGGAGGTGGAGGAGAAGCATAGTAACCTTGAGGTTGAGGCGCATTGCCATAGTAGCTTTGATTCTGAGGTGCGTAGGACATGTTACCAAGGTGATATACGAAAGGATAAAAAAAAGAGAGAAAAGAAGAGTGAAGAACAAACGAGAGAAAAGGGGAAGGCAAGAAAAGTTTTTGAATAGGAGTTTTAATGGTTAATTTGATGTGATACACAATAAGTTGGACAAAATTTCATCTTGAATGCTTGTCTTTCTCTCTTTCTTTTTTATAAACCATGACTGAGGTCAGACCAAAACACTCTCGGTCGACATCAATCACCAAGAACAGTACGACTTCGCATCAAAGAAAGTCTTCTTTGAGTGCCCAACAAAAATCATTTAGTAACAACTCTGCTCCAACTTTAAATACGGCCCACTTTGAAAACAACAAACGTCACTTTCACCATAAATCGAGCCCTTCACTATCCGAGCTGTTCAACCAGCTCATCTTTAAAGTACATTCTTTCTTGAACCCATCCGGACCACTATTACCACACTCCAAACACGCTTCTGCTTTTGGTGGAACGGCAAAACGCTCGTTATGGACAACCCTTTCTCAATCTCGACTGATTCGATTCTTTGTTTTATTTTACGCCATTTTCTCTGTCTTTTTAACTCTCAATCACGGTTGGAAATATATTACAGGCTCAAAGCCTCCGGATGTGGAAAAGAAACAAGTAGTTACTTTTGACGATAACTGGGTGCCTCAAAGAACATACGACCAAGGTAAGCACTCAAAGACCATTAAACGAAAAGAATAACGTACTCGTTTGTAGATAAAGTTTATTCACTACTTGACACAATGTCACACGGTTTGAAAATGCACAAATTGTTTTCGAAAAGCTATTATGAAGCAGCCAAGAGCATTCAACCTTTCTGGTTAAAGGCAAGAAACACACCCTCAAAAGATCAGGTATCTATCATTACTACCGTCACAGCTGAGACTTGGCCCAACCTACGTCGATTGACCGTGTATTGGGATGGTAGGTATAGTCATCTTAGAGGTTTTTTTTATCCATAACACATATATAGGTCCTATATCCGCTATTGTTCACGTCGACAGTCAAGATGAATCGGCATTGGAAAATATCAAACAGGAGTATGCTGAAACTGCTGAACTGAACCATAATGTCGATCTTCACCTTATTCGAATTCCTGGAGAGAAGCTTTCAGTTCTCTTCCCTCGAAATGCCGAACGCAATCTCGCACGTCTACTGTCAAGAACAGATTATATCATGGATGTGCCTGCCGATATGATTCCTGCTTCAGACCTTCGTCGTACATTAGAAGCAAATAAGGAAAAAGTAAAGGAATTACTGGAAGCAGGCGACTTGCTGGCACTACCCACTTTTAGCTTTAAGGACAAAGATATACAAAAAGAAGATATCCCTATTGACAAGGGCCAATTGATCAATAGTTTGCATGAAGGCAAAATGGTATTGGACGATAAGCACTGGAAAGAGAACGAGGGTCCCACTGATTTGGAGAAATGGGTTGATGCAAGCACACTGTATGCTATTGACAAATATGAGTTCCACTATGAACCTGTCGTCATTGAAAGTAAAATCGTTCAGCCTTGGTGCTCTGAACGATTCTTGGATAGTCGAGCCGCTTGCATTTTCTCTAGTTATTTGCAAGGAAATGAAATTTATGTCATGCCTGACGATTATATGATACAGATGCCAGATGATCGTGTCCCTGACGTTTCAGATTTCGATGTAAGTGAATTGATGATGACATCAGTACATGATGTACTTATGAACTATAGCGTGTCGTGGAAAATAGAATCTATGCAAAGTTTTATTGGGAGCAATGTGTACATCACGCTAGACAGTTGGACGCATTAGGTTTATGGGATACACCTCGCTCAGAACATATCAGAAGTCAGTGCTCACGGGTGATACAAAACTGGGGAAAAGGCCTGATAGGCAAACCTGAGTAAAAAGACGAATGAAGAGAGAGAGAGAAAGAATAATTTATTATAGACACCCGCGCCCTTTGCTAATAAAATGTTTAAAGAGGATATCTTTAACAATAAATCTAATTGGCGCTTTATTCTTGCCAAATAGAGAAAGAAATTAGAGTCTTTTATGGTTGATTTTAAATAAAAGGGGCATTACATCTCCATCTATTATAATAATTGATACTTTATCTTTCAAAATCCACCAAGCGTGGTGTATGTTGGCTGTTGATTGACTTTTGTCAAATGTCTTATACAATGATAACTATGGATAATAGCTATACTCTCATTTCTTTTCTAAAGGCTATTAGAACCAGCCAGGTCATCAAATAGCATTTCTTTGCTTGAGTACTTCATATTTAAGCTATTTATAGTTTGAAATCTTATATTTCAGGAAATTTGTGTCGTATAGAGCCTTTTATGTTCATCTTTTAACTTGAGCTTTCTGCAGGAGCAAGAAAAATTAGGTTGAGAATATTGATATTTGACAACCTATTTATGCGATCCTTCAGAATGCTTGTTTATTAAAAAAGAATTAAAATGTGGTCAAAAAGACGACTGTTTACACTTGTCTTAATAACCAGGAACAAAAATAGTCTCCGCTGAGTGCTTTTCGGCAAGAGGCAAGGTGCAAGTAAACAGGATAAAATTTTTTGTGTTTTTTTCAAGTTTTTAAAATGTTAGAGAAGCGCATTTGTGCCTTTACCGATTGTCAGAATGAAGCCCATTTACAGTGCCCTACTTGTATCAAACTGAATAAGACAGAAGGTTCATTCTTTTGTTCTCAAGATTGTTTCAAAAAGAGTTGGGTAATGAAGAAAGTTTGACCATTAGATATGGGTTACTAAACCCTCTTTTATATATAAAGGGAACTCATAAAGCAAACCATGGCAACCACAGAGGTTAGCAATACTAATCAACTATGCTTATTCAGACTTGACTAACACAAAAGAAAAGAACCATACGATCCTTTCAAGACATTCAAATACGCTGGGCCTCTTCGAGCAGTGTACCCTCTTTCACCTAGACGCCAAGTACCTCCAGAAATTCAAAGACCTGATTACGCTGATACAGGTAACCATGACAATAAGTAGGTGGAAAAGAATATAAGCAATTGACAGAAAAAAAATTGTAAAGGAATTCCTAAATCAGAATTCATGGCCAAACGTTCTGAAATCAGAGTTTTAAATGCCGATGAAATCGAAGGTATCAGGAAGGCTTGCCAGGTAAAAATAGAAATAGAAACAGAGAGCATAAGGCTTAGAAAAAGGTTAGATTACCCGCGAAGTACTAGAGGTTGCAGCCAAGGCGGTACGCGTTGGTATTACAACTGACGAAATAGACAGAATTGTTCATGAAGCCACAATTGAACGTGGTGCGTATCCCTCGCCTTTGAATTACAATTACTTTCCTAAATCATGCTGCACGTAAGTGATAAAAAAAGTAAACCAACGCCACAGGCAATATAACATACTGTTAGGTCATTAAACGAAGGTAACGTTCTCTTAATGATGTATTAACCCAAATGGGGAACTTAATTTATTTAGTTATTTGCCATGGTATCCCCGATCAACGACCCTTAGCAAACGGTGATATAATTAATATTGATGTGAGCTGTTACTATAATGGCTTCCACGGAGACGCTAATGCAACCTATCTTGTCGGTGATGTTGATGAGGTTGGACAAAAGCTCGTTAAAGTAACCCGTGAATGCTTAGATTTGGCGATTGCTGCTGGTAAGAAAGAAGAGTGTAAGGGACATCAGAAAGACTGATATCCTTTTGTAGTCAAACCCGGAATCAGATACCGTGATTTTGGCAAAATCATTGAAGACCACGCAACCAAACATGGCTTCTCAGTCGTTCGTGCCTTTTGTGGACACGGTATCAACCAACTCTTCCACTGTGCTCCGGACGTACCTCATTATGCCAGTTAGTCACCTTACTAACCTAAATAAGTAACGCGTGAATGTGAACTAATAAGCTTTTTTTTTCTCATAGATAATAAAGCAATTGGCGTTGTCAAACCAGGTCATATCTTTACCATAGAACCAATGATATGCGAAGGCGTGCATCAAGAATTGATGTGGTACATTTCTATTATTATATCGCCGCTTTACATTGCTAAAATGTATTCATTCTTCTTTTTCTAGGCCTGACGGATGGACGGCAACTACAAAAGACGGAAAACGCTCAGCACAGTTTGAGCACACGCTACTGGTTACTGAAACTGGTGTAGAAATTTTAACTTGAGTACAGTAAAAAGTAAAGTAAAAATAAAATTGGCGCGGAGTCCAGTGTGAATGCCAAGAACCCTATTCTGTGTGAGTGCAAACTTTCGGCATGTTTTTCCAGCCTTTTGTAATTCTTCAATGGCCGAATTATAAGCTTTAGTGGTGGTACCTAGGATGCTGTGTTCATTACCCGTCTTTTCTAGTAGATTTCTTTTAATATTTGCTAATTAGGTTAAGAAAGGAGTTGTGCATTGTCTTGGAAGATTTGGAGCATTTTTTAATGATGAAACAACAGTCAGGGTAAGCCCCTTTGGCATTGAAAAAGAACCTTTTTATGCAGATACAGTGATTTGCGTTTGAAAATAGGGTTTTTTATTGATATTTACAATTCAGTTATTTAACTGTCTTCTTTTTTAAACTTGGTATAAAAGGGTTGTTTTCTAAATTTTACAAGTGCATCGCTTCCGCTTCCACTCTTTAATATGTCCTTGAATTCTTTAAGCTCTCTCTGTAAAAAAGACAGTAAAGTTAGTAAACCTGAGTGTGCTTTTTTTTTTCGCGCTTACTTTAACATCACACCTTCAACAGTGGAAAGGATGCTTATGACTTGTTCAATTTTTTCAACAAGCCAAAACCTCTTTATCATCGCTGGTAAGTAAATAGCTTCTTCAACTAATTTCATACTGTACAACTTACATCGCCAGCCTATAATTAATAGCACTGTCAGTAAATACTTTTGTCAAAAGCTTTTAAAGTTTACTTTCAACTAGCAATCCAAGAGATTTAGGATTTTGAAAGCCCATATCGACCTGTATACCAATGCTTGTTTTCATTTGCTTCATCAATCTCACATAATCATCATCTGCTTGATATATGCTTGTTTTATTAGGTCCTTTTGCTTCCACAAAGAAAGCGTATCTAGGCTTCCTCTTGTGCTTGTAGCCTAACTTCAAGTTAAGCATATAGCCTTGTTCTTCTTTGGCATCATCGCTATTATATCAAAATTAATAAAATAAAACAATAACAATTAAAAAAAGTTACTTACAAGCCGTATACTAAGTTCTTTGAGCTGTCCTTCAACAAAGCCTCTTTAACAAATAGAAGTAAGTGTTTGTCAATAAATGACACTTCGGAATTATCTTAGATTGCATAATTGTCATTTTGGAAATGCAAACAGCATTTCTTCACAACCACATCAATTGGGTTAAAGACCGACTTGATGTGCTATCAAAAAAGTGGTTAGTAAATAGCAATGACTGTGGCGTATCTTTTGGACATATACACTCGAGACCTTTGCGAAAATTATTGTCGCGCTGGTCTGCCGTTTCTATTTACAAAACATTAGAAATAGACCCAGTTAACATGAACCAATCAACCGATATACTCTATATGGCGTGGTAGGCTTTATCAAAAGCGCCCATGTATACTTTCTTCATAGAGAGTAAAGGGACAAACCAAGTTTAAACACGCTTCCTGTTTTGTCGTTTCCCAGCAATGATGAAAATTAATTCACTCCTTTAGCTCTGTGGCACATTACGTTAACCTGTTACACGGTTTTCAAGCCCACGCTCCTCCTAATGGATGTCAAACAAACTCAAACTCAAACTTTGACCTTAAAGCTCTTTAGCTTTTTCAGGCACATATATGTTTGCTATTTGCAGAGTCTTGGGCTTTTGGAAAAAGATAAAAGTTTCAGATAATTAAAGCTGAAAGGCATTCTATGATTAAAAAGGAAGTTCACTGTTATGAGTTTTATATTCCGAAGTACACCATTTTACACAGCTATTCTTCTAGGTTCGCAAGCTGTATGTTGTTGCCACAGTCATACTTCTTCCCTAAATGATAAGCTTATCGTTGCCGTAGTAGCACTCGGGATTTCTTTTTATGTTTACGTGTATATATATATGTATATATGTGTGCGTGTGTGCGTGTGAGTGTGCCGAGAAAAATTACGCCTATTTGTTTTACTGTTTGGCTTTGAAAGACTTATTGATTAAAGTTTCGCCTTTTTTAGCTAAAAAAGCGAGCTAAGGCTGATGAGGTTACACATTGTATTAAACTTTATACTAAATTTCATTTATGATAAAATGAGTTTTTTAATTTTTGAAAGTAAAATAAGCTATCATCAAAAGAATGTATAAGCTTGTAAAGAATAAAAGTAAAATAGAAAAATAATAAAACCAAACAAGAACGCGTCGTTTTGTTTTTGTAACCTGAAAGTCGCCGTGAACTTTATTTGGGTATGCATAATATTATTTGTACTCTGATACGATTCGGAATAAAACTTTTTAGCTAAATCTTTCAAAATCTTTACGGATGATCAATAAAAAAAGGAAATCTAGAAACACAAGCCTCACTCAAAAAACGTATAAATATGCCTCCCTTATTTTGGTCCTTTTTTTTCTCTTCATCAAATAATAACCATGTCCTACCACGAAGAAGCCTACAAGAAGATTGAACAAGAAGAAAACAAGGCCGAATGGACCCATGAACTCCTTTCTGCCGCTGCTGGTTTCGCTGCCATGCGCGCCTACAACAAGAAGAAGGAAGAAGAAGGTGCCAACCCTGAAGATGACCACCATTTGGCCAAGCAAATGATTGCTGCTCTTGCTGCTGCCTCCGTTGACCACCTTGTCGAAACCAAGGGTATGGACTGGGTTGACCGCCACAAGGCTAAGAAGGAAGCCGAAGAAGAAGCCAAGAAGCTTTACGCTGAAAAGACTGGTTACGAATTCTAAATATCCCGTATATATATAAATGTACTCGCTTATAAATAAAAAGCATTTGTCTATAAAACTGTAAAAATGTAATCTATGCTCGTCTTGTTTCGTCTGCTTTTTTTTCGTGTCATCGAGCGTGATATTTGGAAGGTAAGGAATATTTATAGTGTAACAAACACATATACAGCGAAGGACCTGTAAATCTACTAGTGAATTATTCCGTAAAGTAGCGTTTTTTACAGTAGTCTCATAATTTGACATGGTCACTTTGCTCAAATGTATATGTAGTATGGGTATAAGGCGCACATTTATGCAGTTATCAAACTGACTTGTGGGATAAAGAGAAATAACGCGATGAAGACAGTGATGACTAGAGAATTATCATCGTCTTATTTTAAATATAAACACGGGATAATTAAGATTTTCTAGTCTTTGTTGGCGTAAGGTATATATTGGGCTACAACGGTGCAGCAGGCAGAACCTTGCCCTTCAACTTATTTTGGTGGCACTGCCATGGATATAAGTGATCAAGCGTGTCAATGAACAAAGGTATTTGTGGCAACTGTATCAAGGGAGTATTATAGAAAGCGTCTATAGGCCTATCTACGTTTCTTGTTCAGAAAGCAGCGGCAAGCTGGACGAGTTCTCCAGTTTTAGAGGAATCAGATAGGGGGAAATACCTTAAATCTTGAGTCACAGTCAGCCAAATTCATGAGACAAGGTTGAGACTCAATGTGTCTCTGACTACTGTACTGAACGAGAGGGAGGGAGAGAGATTACTTGGAGTTTTGCCACGTAGATATCATCCGTCTTCTTCACAGAGAACATGTACCCATGTGGACCTATCTTTTTTTTTTTTTTCAAATAACTATATTATTAGGCATTATTTTATGTCAGAAATTCGTATTTAAAGTACCTTCTTAATCCATCCCCAAAATGGAATCTTGTCTGTATCAAAAAGGCTAATAGGTAATTTAAGAAGTTTTGTCTAAGTGACTATTCATCCTGATATTTTTGCTTGTTGCATTAAATATTGGTCAGGGATTATTTTCATTCGTTTCTACTTATTGGTGGACAATTCGGCGTCTCTAGTTGAAAGCAAAAGATCGACACGGCGACCAAAGCCGCTATTGAGGGGTATATTGAGAGGGTAGCACCTGAATTCAGATTCTTTTTCACTTGGCTTTGCGGTGGTGTGAGTTACAATCATCCTAGAAAGAATTCCCATAACATCAAGGATTGCAGCTATGTCTTCATCGTCTGTTTCTATTGCTTTAATTTTTTTCTTTGGCATCATGCAACTTTAAATCCTTGTGGGTGATTGTGTTGTTGCTGTCTTTTGCTTTTCTAATAAAGGAAGATGGTCGGTGGTAAATTCCTTAGTAAGCATTACAGCTCGCTTGTATAATGTCGTCGTACAAGTCTTTTGTTTTGATTGACACTCCAGATATCAATAATAAGCTTTGCAGATATGGCATCGAGTTCTTCCGTCATGCGTGCCAAGTAGTTAACTCGGAAATATAAGGATACAAGTAGATGGAACGAGCCTCTTTGTAGCCATTTATTAACAGGGGAAGGAAAAAATATATGACAAAAAAATTGAATAAATGCTGTCAGCCATTCCATCTATTGATATGGCCGCATGAATCAGTGTTGTGGGCTTAGTATCTGACGTTATGGCAACAAACAAAATAGTTAGGCAGCATAATTTTTCTTCAGATGATGAGATTGAAAGGCATACTTGTTATAGTCATTGTTGCCTGCATTCCAGGTTCTGATGAGGTGCCCACCCATCCTACTAAGTTGAATGGGCTAACAGTCAGAAAAACGTATATAAAAAAATAAAAGATTTGTGCGAAAGAGATCTGAAGAAGAAGAATTTTATTACATATTGTCTGAAAGGAAGCGTGGCGTGAAAGAGCCTATGGCAACCCATTCTTCTTCAACTCCGCCAATGGTGTAATTGCTGCTGATGCATTTCCTCTGCGTAGGCATCCTCTCGGTACGTAACGAGATGAGAAAAGCTCTAAATCTCTTAGGTTTTCTCTTTTATATTCAATATACATATTATCTTTAATGGTTTCTGGAAGTGGTATCTATTAAATAATATAAATTTAAAGCACTGTAATTGTTTTTATGTGCTTACGAAGAGGTCGTAGATTTCATTTCTGAATAACAAAATGTTTAGTCTTTCATTTGCTATAAATCGATTATAATTCGCATATATACCTCACTTTTTTGTTTGAATGGTCTCCTTATTGTCCATCTTGATTGTTCTTTAGTTGTTCTTGAAATCTTTTTAGTAAGGCATTCCTTCTTGAGGGTGACTCCATATGGATAGCAGTCATCACACCCATTATAATTGTGTTTCGTTCACCCTTGGCAAAGCATTATTATACATTAATATAGTTTAACTCTTTGCTATGTCTTTCATTATTTTGCCTCTTTTGTTCTTTTCTCAGTGCCTATTGTTCCCTCAATAGTTTTTTGTATGGCATTTTTAACATGGCTGCTAACTGTTTTCTCTCCTCTAATCTTGTTTAATTCGTGGACAAATGTTGCTTCAAGAGCTTTTAACGTCTTTTCTGTGCCATTTTTGTGATTATAATAGATATAATTTGACAAACACCAGTACGAGAGGCAGTACTCTGCGAAAAATGGGTCTTTTGATGCAACATGTTTATATTCATTCATATTCTTTTTTCCTTTATGGAAGAAAGATGTCGCACGTTTAATATGGTTTTTCTTTTTCTTATTCCCATGTGATGTAACGTAGAATACATGTACTACTATAAGATTATGCTCGGGTCATTATAATAATTCAGATTCATGCAATTAAAGCCAAACTGTAAACCTAGATATCGGTGAAAACACACATTTTGGCTTCAAATAATGTTAATTTTATTGATAAGGAACAAAGTATGGGAGAAAGATCATGCTTAGAGTAGAGCATTAAGATATTAAAAAATTGTTTGTCAGTTTATGAACCTAGTCATGTATTTGCGTGTTTTGACTACCAGCATTGTGAATAAACTGTTCATAACAGGTTTAAATCTCGAATATGTTGTCACTGCTAAACAGTTGGGACCAAAAAGGAGATATGTATGAATAGATAAATTATATCTAAACCTGCACTCAGCCCATTGCAAGTAAACAAATCACTCCCCGCAGTCATTATTTTACTTATAAGAGAGCCACGAAGATGAACATAAATCTCTTTATTTGTTTCTTCTCGACTCTATATTCCATCTGGGCAAATGAATCCCTAAAGTAGCGTTTAACAATTCTTGGCTGTTTTTGCATAAGAGTTTGCACTGAAAAAAAATTCCATCTGTCCAAAAAGTGCCCATTTATTTATTCTTGAACAACCCTTTTTGAAGCCATTTTGGTACACTCTTGGAGGAACTACTACTACCAGATGACTTTCTCTCACTTTGTAGACTAGAACCTTCACTTGCTCTTGGATCTGGAGATGGCATTGGCATCTCTTCTTTCATACTCAAGTACTCTTGCTTCAAATCACTTCCACTTTGTTCTCCTTTTTCAATCCAACCAAACAAAACATTAGACGCAGGTGATAAACCCGCCTTATATAGTGTCAATGATGGATCTGTTAGCTTTTTTCTAGGTGGTAAGCACAAGACAAATTTACGTTCAGGTGTTTCCAGTAATGTGCGTATGAAGTCGTATAGTTGAGATACTTTAAAGGTCATGAGTACATATTCTGCCAACTAAATAATCATACAAACCTGTCTCTTTTGATTGAAATACTGCTTGAACAATGGTATAATCGGGCATACGAACACGAATTGTTGTTTTGGGATACTTCTTCATCCTTTCTTGGTCTTCAGCATCTCTCATCTTTTGAGTCTTTAATGGCCTTTGTTTTTAAAAGTTAGATCATAAAGATTATAATCATTAATGACAATCACCTGCTTTCAAGCTTTTCTCTTCTTTCTAAAGTAGATTGGTACAGCATTTTTAATTCGTTGGCATCTAATTTATAAGCTGATTCTGGTATTTCAGCTATATAGAATCGTATTATGTAAGTTATAGATAAACGTAATCAATAACTCACTTACGTATGGCTGGTGCATTCTTGGGAGGGCTCAATATCTTGAGCTGCCTGTCAACAGTGGATTGTTCAGATTGTGACATTTTGCTAGGAAAAAAATACTTGCAGGGAAAAGAAAAAAAGGAAATGAGAGGGGAAAACAGCAGTTGAAATGGTTGCTTTAAAATTTCCTTTTATGGAAGCATTCGTGTCTTTTAATTGTTGATTAAAGGTTGGGGGACCTATCTAATGTAAAAGTACGCAATAGAAAAGGGGCAAATATAAGCATTGCTAGTTGCATCTCACCCATTGGTGCAGTTATTTTTTAAAACGCATACATTTGAAGCAAAGTGGTATTGAAAAAAAAAATATAGAATTCGCACGGCCAGTCTCTATAAAAAGTAAAGACTAATACAGATAAAGTTGGTCAAAATCTAACAAGTCTATTTGAGCCTCTTCAAGAATCATTAGGTATCATTGAAATGCTTGATCAAGAGTACATCGAAGCCAATACAGAAGAAAATGCTTATACAGTCTACTCATTCAAAGATTTATGGTTCGGCTTAGATTTGGTAAAAGAAGCTGTACAAAAGAAGAACGCTTTTATCCAGAATCAGGTACACACACGTTGCAGTAGAAGAAATCATTATCAAAAAAAAAAAAAAACTTAACTATTATAGATCATCTTTCGCAATATAACTAATCCGACACCTGTTCAGTTTAAAGAATTTAAACAGATGTTCAGATACTTTGATAAGGATAATGCCAACACATTATCTGTCTCAGAATTCAAATGCGTGTTATCTTGTTTAGGTATTGTCTATGACAATGACAAGCTAGAAAAGAGGCCCTATAGCATCATCAATGATAATGATTTTGCTACCTTTGAACAGTTCATTCGATTTATGATCTCAGTTACAGAAGATAAGTCAACACTGGATCAGATACGAAAATCATTTAGAACCATGGCTGGTGATAAGCCGTATGTGACAGAGCTTGGTTTAAAGATGAGTCAGATTTCAATGAAGAAGATTGACTATTTAAAAATAGCCATACCCAATAGTGAAGACAATGCGGAAGAATATAATTATGAGTTATATATTGAACAAATGCTTAATTAGATTGATTGCTTTAAAAATGCAGAGCTTGAATCATGCTTGAGCATTGTTTAAAAAAGTCCGGACCGGACACGGACTCACACAATCAAATCATCCCCACCTGCCATCCCTTCAATATTGATGATTGTAGGACTCAATAAACAATCCTTCTCTTTTTCCACTAGTTAGGCAAGTATCCAAAAAGATAAAAAGGGAAGGGGGATTAGTTGGATGTATCTGTTAAAGAAAGGATCCATCAACCTTCTCATAAAATGGATTAGAAAGATGAAGACTAACATGCTTATTTTTATTATTATATACATCAATTTTGTATCACCTTCATTTTCAACACATCACACATTATTGACATTACAACACATTATACAATTTATCATTACATCAACTTACAGCAATGGGTCGTGTTATTCGTGCTCAGAGAAAGGGTGCTGGAAGTATTTTCAAATCCCACACCGTTGGCCGTAAGGGTGCCGCCAAGTTGAGAGTGTTCGACTTTGCTGAACGTCACGGTTACATTCGTGGTATCGTCAAGGAGATCGTCCACGATCCCGGTAGAGGTGCTCCTCTTGCCAAGGTCGTCTTCCGTGACCCTTACAAGTAAGTACATTTGATCATGGAAAAGAACATACCGTTGACCATTTTTCTTAAAGGTACAAGCTCCGTACCGAAACCTTCATTGCCACCGAAGGTATGTACACTGGTCAATTCATCTATGCCGGTAAGAAGGCCTCTTTGAACATTGGTAACGTCATGCCTTTGGCCTCTATGCCCGAAGGTACTGTCATCTGTAATGTCGAAGAAAAGGTTGGTGACCGTGGTGCTATTGCTCGTACTTCTGGTAACTATGCCACCATCATCGGTCACGGTGATGACGGTAAGACTCGTATTCGTCTCCCCTCTGGTTCCAAGAAGGTCATTCCCTCCACCTCTCGTGCTGTCGTCGGTATTGTTGCTGGTGGTGGTCGTATTGACAAGCCCCTCTTGAAGGCTGGTCGTGCCTACCACAAATTCAAGGTCAAGCGCAACAGCTGGCCCAAGACTCGTGGTGTTGCTATGAACCCTGTTGACCATCCTCACGGTGGTGGTAACCATCAACACATTGGTAAGGCTTCTACCATGGCCCGTGACTCTCCTGCTGGTCAAAAGGTCGGTTTGATTGCTGCCCGTCGTACTGGTCTCCTCCGTGGTACCAAGAAGATCAAGGATGCTTAATCCATTCGCATACAGTAAAATAAAATGCAAAGAAAAAACAGAGACAAATTGTATTCAGTTTATGTATAAAACAGCAGTTTGTAAGCAGCTTTTTTGTTTTAAAAAAGAGAGAAAGGATTCCTTCGTACATGTCTTGTTTATAAAAGTGACTAAGTGGATTGATTTCTGTAGTATAGACGCTATGCTTTCATTGTGTTTGCTGTACAATGAAGCTCTTTTTTGCGTGACAAATAAAGAAAACAATATGGTTTTGAGTATGACTACATTATTAAGATCTACCTTTCTCCCCTTTCAAGTTAACAGCCCGCCCGTGACTCAGCCAGTAAATTATCAGAGATGGTGGCCTTGAACTGATGCTGTTTATATTGAAATTGATTAGAATCTTGCACACTGGATGGGTAAATTAAGCAATGTTTAATGAACAAACTCACTGAAAAAAAAAACTATTTCTATAAAAGCTGAAAGTATAAACGACTTTATTGCAGGTAAATACTGGTTTAAAAAAAATAGGGGAGAAGGAGGCGGGGGTCAGCAATACAAACATAAGACCTTCTTTTTTTTTCTATAACAACTAGGATGGATCAGTGGTGCAGCAGGAATTATTGTGGGTAGCCCTTTAGATGTATTAAAGGTAATTGATAAAAGATGTAAAGATATCTTTAGTAACAATGTATCCCTTAAAAAGGCAAGATTACAAGCACCCACAGATACGGAAACAGTGCATCGGAAAGGATCCTGGAATACTTTGAAAAGCATGGTAGAAACGGAAGGGGTACATGGTTTCTAAAACAAATATTCTGATTGTATATTGACACAACACACACAGATAGGGTCCATGTTTAAAGGCGTCCTATCCCCAGTGGTTGGACTGGCAGGTTTAAATGCGATATTATTCGTATCCTATGGTTCTATCATTCGCTACTTTGAACAACAATACCCTAATGATAAAGAACCAAGCTTAATGCAAGTGTATATTGCTGGTACTGGTGCCGGATTTGCTTGCTTTTTACTTTCGACACCTACAGATTTAGTAAAGATCAAAGCACAGATATCGAAACTCCCAAAGACAAGTTGGCAGGTTACAAAAGAAGTTTATCATACTAGCGGGATCCGAGGTATTTTAGTATATATACTCATGGTTAATCTGCAGTAAGAATGCATAACATACATCTGAGATTAGGGTTCTATCAAGGCGGTTTGGTCACGGCTATACGTGATTCACCCAGTTATGGTATCTACTTTTGGGTTTATGAAGGTTTGAAGCGTGTGTTACAAGTTAGTCCAATCGAAAGTGAAGCTTGGAAGCTCCTGTTGGCAGGAGGTATGGCAGGCACGGTATCATGGGCTTCCATTTATCCAATTGACGTCGTTAAATCACGTCTACAGATGCAGAAACGAGTAAAGGGGGATAATGAAGCTAGAAGATTGTTGTTGACAGATCAGCCTTATGCATCAATTAGAGACTGTGTGGTGCGGTCCTACCGAACGGAAGGACTTGGTGTTTTCTTTAGAGGTCTATGGCCAACCCTTTTAAGAGCATTTCCAGTCAATGCTGTTACGTTTTATACATATGAGATAATGATGAGTTTTTTACAAAATTTATAGATAAATCGCACCACTTGTATATTCCCCCTTTCTCCTTATTTTCTTCTAAACCTTAACCCCTGAATTTTTTCTTTTCTTTCTTTTTCCTTTGTAATGTGTAACGAGAGAAACCGTTTGTGTTTGCATATTCTTTGCTGTGGATTATAAAAAGATCGTTATGCAATGAAGTAAATCACTTTTTATTCTTTCTTTTGTCATTTTTTCTTTTTCTTTTTTATTTTTATTCAACATGGGGATATGTCATAAACTATTCAACTTGTCACGATCTTCTAAAGCAGTCTCAGAAATTACTGAACGATCTTCAAATAAACGTAAACCATTTCTGTATAAATTTAGATCGTGTCATACTTTTGTATTTTGGACAGCTGCAGTTGGACTATTCACTAGTGTAAAGAATATAATTCATGATTGGATGTGAAAATTAACCAGAAAACTATAGACATTTGTTCATTCGATTCTTTTCCCTTTATCACCATTTATTGTAGCACGTATTAGGCACATTGACGATAAAAACTGGACAGAACATTCAAAATCATCTGCTATCACATCAAATATCGAACTAACTTCAAGAGATACAGGTGTATTGGTAGCTCTTTATGCTGTTGGTTTATTGGGTACATGATAAACAAAAAAAAGATGCATAACGAATAAATTAATTAACCTCCCCCGAAAGTGGGTTCTCCTATATTTGGTTGGTTAGGCGACAAAATTAAGCAACGAAGACTTCCTATGCTTTTAGGAACGGGTGCTTCCATGGCTGCCAACATTTTGTTTATGCTCAGTGTTACTTATCCGATGCTACTCATTGCTCGATTTCTTCAGGGTGTATCCAATGCGTGTGTTTGGACAATGTGCCTTTGTCTGATTGCCGATAACTGGCCAAGAGAGGAGCTGGGTAAATACTTGCATAAAAAAAAAGCGCTATGTGTTCTTATTTTCTCATCCATCACTTTAGGATCACAGATGGGCAAATTGGTCGGATTTTACCCTTTGGGAATGATGATAGGATTACCCGCAGGAGGATGTAATAACAGCTTTTATACTCCATAAATAGAAAGAATAACACTTTTGTTGTACTAGTGCTTTACAGCGAGCTTGGTTACGAAGCACCGTTCATTGCTTCCATGATATTAAGTGGCATTGATTTTGTCATGAGAGTTGTCGTTATCGAAGGACAAAATGTAGGGGATGAAACTGCATCTATCAATTCGGAAAAGACAGTAAAGGAAGAACCACCAGTCAAACAGCCGGTGACATGGTTACAGTTACTAAAGCAGAAAAGGCTTGTAGTGTCACTAGGTTTAACCGTAACCGTAGCAACTGTCATGAGTGCCTTTGAAGTAAGCATTTTGAATCTATTACTAAAACCCATCTAATGCTTACAAACCCTCTATTAGCCAACATTATCCATGCGACTAGCTCAAGAATGGGGCTTTAATGCAGCTGGCTGTAGTTTGATTGTCCTTTCTTATATGATTCCCTCCATTATTGCTAGTGCAGTCTGTGGTAAACTCTGTGACAAGTTTGGAACAAAAATTGTTGCAATAGTATCTTTATTCTTTGCAACGCCTTCTTGTATCTTAATAGGCGTACCTAACAAACAAACTGGATCCTTCTGGCCACTTGTTCCAGTCCTAATCATGGGTGGTATAACGATCGCAGGCTGTCAAGCGCCGGTGTTTCCCGAAATAGCCAAGGTGGTAGACAAAGAAAATGGAAATTCTACCACATGTGACGGGTTGGCAAGGAGCTATTCTTTATTTAATGCAGCATACGGTGTTGGCATGTGTGTTGGCCCATTGATGGCAGGTTATCTGTTTGCAAGTATTGGGTTCTTTTGGTTATGTACAATACTGAGCGTCTTGTTCTTTTTATTTATTCCCTTTGCCTACTTGTATATTGGAGATAGCCGACAACTCATCTGCCCTAATAATGGACGTGGTGTACCTAGCTCTTCCAAGGATGAAGAAAATCAAAAGATCGAACAATCAAATGATTTTCATGACGCTGCATCCATGTATTCCCAAGGATCGTTTCCTTTCCTTGTGAAAAGTATAAGTCTTGCTAAAATTCGAGGAAATAAAACAAACCCTTCTAGTCTGTAAAGCAGTACTGTATTTTATTAATTATTGACGTTCATTTTATAAAATATTATCATAAAATGTTTGAATACAAAATCATACCGATCGCAGTAGACCAGCAAATAAGGCGCATCAGATGGCTGTTGTTGCCTAGTCATAGATGTGACAGCCGCAATCTTCCTTTTTTATTTTTATCCAGTTTGGAAGCGAAGCTGCCTTTTTCATTTCTTACTTTAAAGTTGCTTCCGTCAGATGCTCAGTCAATTATCATCCAAATTTTACGCATCATATCCCTTTCTCCTTGATCAGTTAAGGGCAAGTAGGATATCTTGAATAAATTAAGACTATACAATAACGTTGTTTTTAGAAAATCAAGCTCACGGCGAGCATTAAGGTTTATCTGCTGTTCGTTTAAATAGTTGAAAAGTAAATTGATATCGTCGGATCCCGGTAAAGCGTCAAGGTAACTTTTCATTTTTTGAGGCAGAGTGTTTCTTTTGGCGTTCTGTTGCTGCGTCTATCTCTAGTAATTCTTATTTTGTGAACCATTCTGACCAATAGTCGTCTCAAATTTCAAGCACCAACGAGTTTGCCGAGCTCACACCAGTTCATGTTTATTATCACAGATAAAAGCTTTTTTCGTGTTTCGTGTACTTACTGTAATTAACTGGACTTTTCGCAAAAAGTCTTTCATCGCTTTCTCTACACATCTACCAGAGGACAAACGCCACATCTGCAAGTTCTCCAGACGGCCATACAATCCCATTATTTTGATCTTATGGTCGTCCGAAAGTGGGATGTCAGGCGTTGACTTGCTTGACCTGTTTGAAATAGTGACTTTTGATGACATTTGTTGTATTCAGCTTTATATTTGAAATAAGACTATTAAGTCGATAGCCTGGGAATTTGATTCTTTATAAACAGAAGAGAGGAGTGCTATTAAACTAAGATGCGTGCTCGTTTTATAGGGAATGCTAATGTCGTCAGCATGATTTAATGTGGCTAATGTGATGATTTATCAATGCTATACTAGTAGCTAGTATATTTATTATTATTATTCAAAATTATAAGATGCGATAGAAGAAAGTAGAACGTGTGCTCTACTGTAAGATATAGAGTATTATAATGATTATCTCATCAAACACGTCAGAAACGACAACTTTTCCCGGATAGACTGTATTAAGCAGTTCACTCATAACTGTAGATAGAGTTAAACATTTTACTAGCATTGAAAGAGCCTACACCGCAGCTTGTGATAAAGAAATAAACTGGTAGGGGGACGATTGTGTATGCATGATGTTATTAATGTGGCTTGCTCTTTCTAGTGTGTGCAGCTTTGGTCCCAAAGGGTGCACCTATCGTCCACTTGTTGTGTCACCTGATGATTACAAAGTTACAGAAATTATACTTTTTAAAGCAATCTCTTTATCATTAGTTTCTGATGCATAAAGACATACTCAAAGTTGTACTAATAGGAGACGGTGGAGTAGGCAAGGTAACAGAATTAAAATGAAATTCATTTCAATTGTAACTCATAATGAACAACCATACATAGACTAGCCTTCGAAATCAAGTAAATCACAAGACAGCATAAAAACAGCAAGTAGAATTAACATGTTCTTTATTAGTATATTCATAAAAAGTTCACCAATGCATATAAAGCCACTATAGGTACATAATAACCCTTCTAGACTATCATTGACTGAATTAAACCTCTATTTAACAGGTGCAGATTTCATAACAAAAGAGGTTGAAACAGATGATGGAAAGAAAGTCATGATGCAGATATGGGATACAGCAGGACAAGAGCGATTTCAGTCGTTAGGTGTTGCTTATTACCGAGGAGCCGATGCATGCGTGATGGTTTATGATGTTAATAATTACTTGTCTTTTCAACATTTAGGTAAGTAAAAAAGAAAAAGAAGAAAAACGAAATACTAAAGAAAATCAGAAAAATGGAGGGAGGATTTTTTGAAACAATCAGCTCTACCAGCAGAGGAAGCTAAAAACTTTCCAATGATAATTATTGGAAATAAGATCGATATTGATGACAGAGTTGTATCTAGAAGACAGGCAAGAGCGTGGGCAGAGATCCATTCAAATGAAAAGATGCAAATACCTTGTTTTGAGACAAGTGCAAAGAATGGAGATAATGTCGAAAAGGCATTTACGCAGATAGCCAAGATGGTCAAAATACCTCAGCTAGAATTGGACATGAATGAGAATGGTTCGTTTTCATTAACAAACGAATCCTTAAAGAAGACCAGTTATACAAATACTCCATGTTGTTGATATGTATATAGAATATCTTTTTATACCTTTTTACTTTTTATAATATCTATTATCTATAATAATAATTTACTTTACAAATAAACAAACGGTCTGAAGTTGAGACTAGAAAAGGAAATTAAAATGACTCAGCTTAAGGTGAATTTGACCATTTATTTCCCCACACTGTGCAGTTTCCCCTTTTTTTCTTTTATATTATCAAAATGTCAGATTCCAACCAAGCTCCTAGTGAACAGGCAAAGCTAGAACAGGCGGGCACAATTACGCTGAGAGAAGATATGTTGAAACCAGCTGTTTCTTTTTTAACCTCTCCTAACGTTCAGTCCGCCGATAAAGCCAAAAAGATTGCCTTTCTGCAAAAGAAGGGCCTCACACAGGCAGAAATTGACGAAGCATTCAAAAGAGCTGGGGATAATACCACACATTCTTTATCAACAACGACATCTGCCAATAATAATGCTACTAACACGATTGCCAGTCGTCCCATGGTCCCACCAAGAACACAAGCACCTCAAATCATATACCAACCGCTACCACCTACACCATCTATGCCGGCTGAGAAAGTGTTTGCATTGGCTGTGGTTCTAGGCATGAGTGCTTTCGGTCTTACAGCTGCTGTTATTGGTATTTTAAAGGTAAGCTGGCTTAAAGCTGTCTATCATTCAATGCCCTCTAATACAATATAGAAATTCATACAACCTATTTTTCATCGAATTGCAGAGTATCAACGAACACGATATAATCAACGCAGGGAACTTGCTGATAAATTACTAGACGCATTGAAAAAGCATGATTCCGAGAACGATGACTTGGACGCCGTAATAGATCAAGGAGACGAAGCTACCCTCACAGACGCGCTCATCAAGCACCAAGCCGACCTACAGACAAAATTACAGCAGTTAGCACAGACCGCTAAAAGCCGACTATTAAAGCGAACCCTCGGTCTGGATCTGGATCTGGATCTCGTTGGATTCAAGCTGGCTTTGTCACCTAGCGACATGATTCGCAGCGATAGCCCCGTATCTGGTTTGAAGAGTGACATAAGAAGCCTAAAGGCTGCTTTATTGAATAGACGCAATTTTCCTACTGCTTAAAAAATAAAATCAAGACACTTCACCATGTTTGATCTCACAACAGACTGGGCCCTCAGATGTGACGAGAGGGATACCCTTATAAGTAGCCACACCATTCTCATCTGTCTTCAAATGCTCTGCTACTTGTTCAAATATTTTTTGTTTGGGCTTCAGTACATCCACTGGCTCGCCCAAAGATACTCCTTCGAGCTGAATTCTTTCACCAATAGGAGCTAAGCTAGGAGGCGATAATGTTTGTACACGATTATCTACAGAAGCTGCCAGGAGCATGCCTTGAGACAACACGCCTCGAAACTTGCTCGCTTTCAGGTTAGCTACCACAACGACCCTTTTACCCTATAAAAAATAGTTTAAGATTAAGTAATCAATAAAAAAGAATGAATTACACAGAGAGATTCCTTAGACATGTAAGGAACAAGTCCACTGACAATAGTACGCTCCTCGAGAGATTCTTTTGAGACGCACACTACTAATTCCTTAATTGCTGCTATTTGTTGTTATTATTTTGCTGTAAAAACCTTTTTCAATGTACAAATGAGATGCATCAGGGTGATTCTCTATTTCTGTAATTTTGCCAACGCGTAGATCAACTTTGTGAATAGGATCATCGGCGGTAATAGTAGTTGATAGTGAACGATAAAGTAAGCGTAAATGAGATGTGCAAGTGTTTCTGAGGTGTCTAGTAATCGTTATGGAAAATAGCATTATGGAAAGAAGAGAAAAGAAAAAATCTATTCATCTGTGTATCCTTTTTCAAACAGACAAGTGTGTATGAAATAAGTACACTTTTGGAGAAGAGAGCACTTACTTGCGATAATTCTCTTCTAGATGTGAACTTGTAGTCTTTGTCATAACGCATAAATTGATATCAACTACTTTGGTCTTCATGCACTAAAGTTATTCCTTATAAATAAAGAAGCATAAACAAAGCAGATACAGGATGTCATGTTTTAATCGTCATTGATAATTCTTCATTTAGTATACGTTGCTATCACTTCACTAATGATTATGCATATCAATTATTGTAAGAGATTTGCGCTGTATTATAACGTTTGATTATCGATTAAATTAAACAACCAAGGCGCCTGCAGTTATCATTGATATGGACACGAAAGGAAACCTATTTATGCAGATGGAAGATACTGCAGCAGACTGTTTGCATATGATTATTCTCTCTTAAGCAAGAGCTATTTCATTAGTTCAAATATATCAATACATACAGTCATTTCAGAAAGTAAAGTCGCGAATTTTGAGTTTGATGTCGTGCAAAAAATTGTGTTCAACAATGATATCGATTGATCCAAAAATAAAGACGTGTTATCCACACTCTTGCCCACTCTTTTGGAAAAGGAAACGTTAATGACTAAAATTAGGGATTCGAACAAGCTAGTGAACAGTTTCCGTTGGATAGTCTACGCCAGCCAACAACAACAACAACAAAAAGATTAGATAAAGAATGTGGACAAGAGTGGACAACACGTCTTTATTTTTGGATCAATCGACATCATTGTTGAACACACAACACATATGCTTTCTGTAGCTTATGTATTTATGAATAAGCGATCAACAAAACACAGAGAGAAATAAACACATCTATCTAACCAAGATTGGCCAAATGCGCTTATAACCAATAGTAAACAGTTATGACAATAGCGTCTATATGGATCTGTTTTAGTATAAAAGAAGGGCAATATTCTACGCAAAAAAGAGAAGATACAACAGTTCTTTGGCTTTTATACTTTTTTTTTTACTCAAATGCAAATCAAGCTTGTTATTCTTACTATCTGCGCTTCTCTTGTCGCTATTGGCTTTGCTGCTCCTTCTCCCCAAGCTGATGCTGCTCCTCCTGGTGATGACAATCTTCAAGCTTTTGACACAAGCGATGCAACTGCTGATCCAAACACACCTCCTCCTGAAGGCCCAAGCCCTCAAGCTTTGGATCTAGTTACAGAATCTTTTTCTGATGACATAAGTCCTGCAGATTTTGATCTAAATGCTCCTAGTGATGCTGCTATTGATGCTGCTATTGATACTGCTATTGATGCTACTGATCCAAATGCTGATGGCCCAGTGCCTCCTTCTGATGGCTCAAGTCCTCAATTTTTTACTTATTAATAGATAAAGCTTGAATTTATTCTTTTACAACGAATATCTTTATTAGTTTTAGCATTTCTTATTTATGTACAAAAGAATGTTTGCTTACTTTTCTGAGGCAATTGTTGTAAGATTTATATTCATCTTATCTTCGCTAATGCAGGCTCAACAAGATGAGATTGAAATACTCGTTTTTATATAAAAAGGGTTCAACAAGAGAGTGTGCCACTATTGACACCCCATTTCAGGTCTAACTACAGAGTCTCCTTCTGATGACCAAGTCTTCAAGTTTTTCATCCCAATGAAGATAATGGAGCACTGAGGATTAAGGTTCCTATGTTGGCCTCAATAACACTATTCCTGATCAAGTATCTGAAGAGTATCATCAACGCAATGATCAGCTCTAAGGATTCATATTGTCAAAGTATAATAAAACTTCAATAAACTCGATAGTTCTTTTTACACACATTTCCGTCTAATGTTTTTTTTTTTTTGCTTTGTTTCTATGCGTTATTAGTAAGCGATAAAGGCTCTATTTAGAGTAAGAAATCAAGTAAAACCGTAGGATATTTCATTAAATAAAGTACTACTCTTCAGTATATAAATACATCATTTGTATTCAACAATTATGGAAAAAAGTGCATACGGTTAGAAAAGAATGTACATTCGTGGGCTTTGATTAGTTTTACACTTTCTCTAAATATGGGTTACAAGCTTGCTATTGGCATATAGAAAGTTTATTCAATTTGGAGGGTATATAAAAAAAGAGAGGGGAAGTAAACGATATGGTCAGCCATAGTTAGACTGCATGAATGCCAGTATCATCAATTACGACTTCACATCCTGATCGCTTTGCCTTGGGTGAAAACTCTATAAATAAAACGCGTCTAGTGACAACATGTTCCATCATTTGTGATCTAGCCAATCTAATTCTCGTATTAACAGAGTTCTGCCAGGATAGACCTAAAGTAGGCTTCTTTAACAACGAATGAATAAACAATCCTAATCGGCCGTTTTCTTGTTGATTTATCAGATTAAAGTCTAACCATTCTTCCATATGACTTATGAACGCGCTTCCTTTGAGGGAAGTATCTGGAACATCCGTGACTTGATTAATAGTGACGACAGCAAGGTTATACTGACTGGCTATTCTCTTCAGTCGCATACCTATTTCACATATCTCTGCCATTTTGTCAAAACGCTGCTTATAAGCGCCATCACCTCTATAAATTGCACTGATAGAATCTATCACGACAAGCCGAATCTTTTTTTGACTCTTTTGCTGCAAGTCTAGAAATGCAGGTAGTTGATAAGCCAACACACGATACTGACTCTCTCCATCGGACACACGCATCGTATGAATATTATTTCTTAGATTATCTACATCCACCTTGTTACCATATTTAGACACATATTTATCAACAAGTTGGTTGAGTCTGCTCGACGGAAACGGGCCCTCGCTGTGTATATAAATGGCTGATCCTTCAAGACCCCCTTCAAGGGCTGGTTTTTGTACTGACAAGCACAATTGAAGTCCTAATTGTGTCTTTCCAGAAGAACTATATAGTATTATTCCTCTGATTTGAACGAATTTATATACATCACAGCTACCTTTCTCCTACAATCTCAGTGATCGTTCCGAGTGGTATACCACCTCCTAGTAGCTTATCTATTGTATCGTCGCCTGTTGTTAATGTCGTATTCGATTGTATATCTACAAGCTCCCTCCCTGCCTTTTCTCTCAATCTCCAGTCGTAAGCCTCGGCTGAAGCAGCGTCAAGGATAGATTCGACTGAAGCTTGATCAATGTGCAATACATGCTGTAGTTCGGACGCTGATCTTGGTATCAGTTCTTCAAATGAATCTAGTCCTTCTATAGTGTTCTGTCAATCTTTAGATTATAGACATTCTTTAAACTACTCACCTTCCTCTAACTTTTCAAATACACCCAAAGACTTTGTCAAAGACTCTAATTCACTCTTCATTACAACAATAACAACAAAAATTAGAGTTACAGTGGCCAATGAAATGCCTTTTTTTTTTCTTGGTTAGGCAGGTGACGAGTTTGTTCTGCATAAATAGAGATATGACCCTTTTTTCTCTGTTTTTTTTTTCTCCTTGTTATTATGCCGGACACATATTCTGTGTTAATCAATCGCGGTAAAAACATATCCTTGCATATTAGTTTATCATTGGCTTTTCTTTTCATTAATGCTGTCTACAGATGCCGATGACACTGTATCAGATACAGAAGCAGAGAAAAAACTTGTTCGAAAATTAGATACGAGATTACTACCATTTCTTAGCTTTATGTATCTTTTCTCTTCCTTGGATCGATCCAGCCTAGGTAAAACATGTCATTATTTAGGCATTTTTTTATTTATTATTATCATCCAAAGGGAATGCTGTATTGGATAACTTTGAGGAGGATGTTGGTATCACACCTGATCAATTCAATACTTGTGTCACCATCTTTTATGTAATTACACACACACACACACACAATAAGACATATTCCTGATAAACATCAATAGGTTGGCTTTCTTATATTTCAAATACCCAGTAATATACTATTGAAAAGGTTCACTGCCAAACGATGGTTACCCCTCTTGATGCTTCTCTGGGGTGCCATCGCTTGCTTGCATGCAACTGTCAGAAACTATACTCAACTCTTGATCTTTCGTTTTCTTCTTGGATTTTTTGAAGCAGGTTTCTTTCCTGGCGTCATTTACTTTTTGACCTTGTTTTATAAAAAGAATGAAATGGTAATTTGCTCCATCTCTTTCTTGTTATGGCTGTTTTCATTTATAGTTCATAGGCAACACGTATTGCTCTCTTTTGGGGATCGACAGTGGCTGCTCATGCTTATGGTAAGCAACTATGAGAAATGAATAAATAATGAGCTCATACATTTCATCTAGCTGGTGTTCTTGCCTATGGTATATTGCAACTTAGAGGATCAGGAGGATTAACTGGCTGGCAATGGCTGTTCCTTATTGAAGGCATACCTACCGTGCTTGTGAGCGTGATAGCATAGTATGTTTTGCAGATACAATTATATTCTGTTTTAATCTGTTCTCTTGAAATAGCTTCTACCTACCAAGTTCACCATCCACCTGGACTGTTTTAACAGCAGAGGAGCGCATACTGGCTGTTTCAAGACTGGAGCACGAGGATAATAAGCACACACACATGACCTTGGCTGATTTAGACGCTTCAAATAAAAAGCAAGCAGTCAAGGCATTAACCGACTGGAAGGTTTGGATGTATATGCTCATGTTCTTTTGTGGAAGTGTACCAAACACCAGCGTATCAAAGTACTACTTGTCATTTTTCAAGTCTTTATTCTCTGACCTTTTTTGTATATAGCTTCTTACCATCCATTGTCAGAGGTATGGGCTATGATGATAAATTATCAGCAAATTTGATGTCAGGTAATATATATACACAGCTTTTATTGTACAGAAACGAACACAACTGATTATATGTGTGCCATCACTAGCGCCGCCTTATGTGTGTGCAGTAATAGTGGTAATATTAGATAACATCATATGCTTATTACTTTGCTCATGACAACTTGTTAAAGATGATAGTAGTAGCTTATTCTTCAGATCGTCACCGAGATAGAGCATATCATGCTACTGCAGGTGCCTTGATTTGTTTAATTGGATATATCATCCTGGTTGTCTGTATTGAACGACCTACACTGTATGCTGGTGCCTGTATTGCCGTTGCTGGCATCTTTGTAATCAATCCTATCGTCAATGCATGGTTGACAAGTAACATTGCGCCTGATATGAAAAAGAGTGTTGCAACAGCAATGGCTGTCTCTGCAAACAACTCAGCAGGCCTTGTTGGATCCAATATTTATAGAAAGTCTGATGCACCAAGATATTGTAAGTTGTTTCTTTTGTGAACAAAGTTGGCTCATTATATCTTTTATTAGTAAGAGGTCATATGATCAATTTAGGCTTCCTTGTCTTGTTTATTATTCTGACTGTGGTTCAGAGATATTTGCTGTATAGAAAGAATCAACTTAAAGAGCAAGAAAGGATGAAACTAACAGAAGAACAAATTGCAGAGATGGAAGATAATGACACACGAGTAGGCGATGAAGCACTGGATTTCGTCTATCGCCTTTAACGAATAAACTAAAAGATTATATGAATAAAGATATGATCAAGTGTCTTTTAATGTAATTTTTACACTTTATTCACAAATTCGGCTTTTCTTCCCCCAAAGAATTATGAATAATGATAATGCGACAAAACTACCTTCAGAAATTATAAAATCTATTGCACTTTATCTAAACAAAGTAGACAGATTGAGTTGTTTAACTCTTTGCAAAGCTTGGTACAAGACATTGATCAACCTGATTTATGAAGATGTCACTTTTAAGACATTAAAGTCATTTCGCATCTTTCTTCACACAATCACTCATCATTCAAACGTCTTGAGACCTGGAAGAGCGGTACGAACGATCCAAATGAACATTGACAGTATGGATGAGTGTAACTTTGGAGAAAAAGAGATGGTCTTTACCGAATTTGAATTATTGGCAAGACATTGCCCTTTTGTGACCCAATTGACCTTTCGGTTTCCGCACTATTGGCGATTCCTGCATGAACTTGATTTGGATCATCATTGGCTTTACCTGAGTAAGCTTTCAGATAGTGATGGAAGTCGAAAGTCAAGAAAGACAATGGTCTCTTTGGGTCATCGACTGACGACTTACGGCATTGACACGAGCCTATCACTTAGCAGCTATGGTATCACTCGAGAGCACATCCTTCAAGACATAAGCATGTTGCCCAGTCTAAAGGTCATTCGGTTGAAAAGCAAGTACTTTCACTTGTACATTCAAGATATCGTCCATATCTTTCGTGAGCATCCGCAGTTGGAGGAACTGAGTCTGTGGGTAAAGATGAAGAAAGCACCAGATACGGACGATATCCCTACGTATAGTAACAAAGAGCAGCGCATACACACACTAGGTTGCTTGATTGATAATACACAACATCCGTGGATCCCATTTATCAAACGTAACTATAGTTACATCGACACGTTGGCATTTCAAGTCGCTTATCAAAGGAATCAAGAAGGTATCGTACAGCCCATGAGCGATAGGACAAAGGCAGACATATTAGATAGCATCCTTGGCCTCTTTCATAACGAATACATGGCATCATCACAAGATACCCATAAACTTTCTGTCCGCCGACTGAACATTAATCTCGGCAAGGCTGGAGGACTCTTGCTTGCCATCTATATGTCATCCATTATCTACATGACTTCAGCTGCTTATGTACACTTTACGGTCAGTACATCGCTCCATATCAACTTCATACATGACTTTTTTGAACATATGCCCATGGCCAACTCAGAGACAGAGTTCTTGCCCTTGAAAAGCCAAGTGCACCACTCTTTTAACATTGTCTATCCATTTGATCCAATGGACAACAACCAAGGTCTCATCGAACATTTAAAACTAGCTACAGAATCACTCACTTACTACATCACTGAACTGACGATCAAAGAGACTAGGAAATATATGGCAACCTATTCACTGGGATTTCAGTGCTTGGATACCATCCTCGAGCATTTCACATACTTGAAAGCCCTGACCTTTGTTCTATCCAATACGTACCTGTTTGATGACAGCGACAACAGCAGTAATAGTTTAGGAGAGATAGATGAAGTGACCTATGTGGGCGAAGTCACCTTAAGTCACTCAGACGCAAGTACACACATCAAGCACGACACGTTGACCTCTCTCACTGTCAAGGAAGGGAAAATGAATACGAAAGTCTTTTCTTATCTGTTCAGCAAGTGTCCTCACCTATCTAGCCTTAGTATAAGAAAATATGGATATGATGAGGAATCTCTCTTGATTTTGGAGTGTCTTTGCTTGGAGAATAATGTAAACTTGGTTTATTTGTCATAAACAAACTTGAACACTTGTAAATAGCTTAATAAATATTCCCCTCCTTTTTCTTTATTTGTATTTTACATGACTCCCTAAATGTACTCCAAAGAAACAAAGTTAAGAGTCTCAAGGAGATGTAAAGGTCTATAAATCCTTTTTTCAAACTGTAAATGAAAGAAAAGGAGACAGAGAGACAACAAAAACTAGGAGATGAGATTAAATGTGGAGAGAGAATAGAATAGAATTTTAAAAAAAGCTAGTTTAATCTGTATTAAATCGTTATTATTATTATTTGGCGCGTACATAACAATTGACATTTGAAAAGGAGAGAGACTATGGCGATCCATTGATCTTGTGCATTAATTTGTGTAAACACACACACGCGCGTGTAACAAAAACTTCAATATATCCCCCTTTCTCCCTGTCTCTCTCTAAACAAACATTCATACAGACATGAGTTAGAGTGTCTAATTGAATAAAGTGTATATAAAATTACAAGATTAATAACAAACAATAATAATATAAAATTACAAAATTAATAGGGACGAGAATTCTGAAGATATTCTTGAATTCGCTTATCTGTGATCACCTTCTTGTTCAGTGGATGCTCTATCGTTGATTCTGGTGTTCCTGAAGGTGGCATGTTCAAGATAGGCACATAACCTAGACTACTAGTAGATGATTTTCGATGCTCCTGTTGAGGGAAGTAACTGTTGGAAGACGGTTCAGATGGCTGGTCATCAAAATTAGGAGTCATGCAGAATGAGTTTCTAGCGTTGGACGCGTCCGTAGGGTATTGGAAAGGATGTGGTGACATGCTCGTTGGAGTCTTCATCGCGCCACCTCCGCCACCCATACTGAGCCGTGACGTTTGATATCGCTGTTCCCAGTCAGAGTATCCCTGAGAGGGTTTCCTTGACTTATAACCACCAAAGGTCATGGTAGAATCCTGGCTTTCCTTTCTAGACTGTTGACGATGATTATACTTTTGATCATGACGTTTACCCATCCTATGCTGCTGCTGCTGTTGTTGTTGTTGGTAATTTGCATTATTAGATGAACGTCTCTTTTGCTGCCTATGATAGCCATGAGAGTTGCTTGGTGAATCTCGTCTACTGGATTTTCCCGCAGACGCAGGTGGAGGAGATAATGATTTTTCTACAGGGCTGTAGTATCTCTTGGTTGGCTTTTTGTAATACTCTGCAGTGTCTGTAGAAGATGATCCTTTACTGCCATTTTGATGGTGATACAAATTTCGTTTGTCCTCTTCCCAAATTATATTGTCTCGATCAAACATCGCAACGTCACGCCATACTGCTAATTCATCTTGGGATGAGTAAGCTGTCGTGGTCTTGCTTGGGGTATAATCGGATGTTGTTGGGCTGTAATTTCTTTGGTGAGTTTGAGACATGAACGCTGGCTTCAGTTCCTCAGTTTCTTCTTCCTTTTCAGATACTTTATCATTGGCACTTTTTGTAAAGAACGCAGAAGCAATAGTCCAGAACAAGAGGCTGAGAAATAAAAGACCGAGAGCAACAGCAAATAGAATAGATTCAGCTTGAACAACGTGTCGAGCGCAGTGCACTTTATTGCTGGTGTCTTGGCATGTTTCTTTGATCATTTGATAGTAATGCTGATAAGAGGAACCAAACGTGTAAGCAACAAGTATGGATGTAGCCAAAACGAATCCAACAACAATTCGACGATACAAGTATTTTCCTCCCTTGTTGGAATAAAGTCCAAGTAAGAAGGCAATACCTCCGAATACGGTTGCTAAAAGAAGGGGTATGATACGACTTAATGAAGTAGGTGCAGTTATAGGGGCTGTAGCATTATGTTGAGTGGCCACTTGAAGAACAGTAGAGACGTCTAAACACATAAAAAGAGAGAGAGAGAGCTGAGCGCATGATATCATGGTTATGTCATACTATCTTATATTACCAGGTTGATATCTTAGGTTTGTAGGTGAACAAGAACAGTTGAGAGCATAGATATAACAATGTTTCCACAAACCAAATGATACTGAATCAGGTGTAGTCAAGTTACTTGTGATATTTCTATAAAGGAATACTTGATGCATAGACATAGTACTTTTAAACGTGCAATCATTAATGGTTTCATTGGTCTCGAACCAACTTCCAAATCCAATGGCTAATATGGATAATGCTAATACTCCTATTCTAATAGCTGGTAAAAGGACATGCTCAACAAATGGACCATAAGGGGATTCACGCCTTATGGACATTTCTTGTTTTTCATAAAATAAAAGAAAGAGAGAAAAGAGAAAAAAGACTAGAAAAAAAATGGGAAAGAGGGATAATTATATTTTTTTTCCAGCTAAAATTTCAGGCAACCTCAGATTTCCTTTTTAGTCAATTTTACTCTCTTTCCAGATAAAACCAGGGACAACGACGATTCTGGTTATACAGCATTCAAATTAAGCTTCAAACAGGAAACAAATCTATTATAAAGTGTAAAGTAGGGAATCTCTGCTTTGAGGTTATTGATATCGTCTTTTGAATAAGGCCTGATGTGGGGTATGTATTCTTAAACATTACAATATTCGTCACGTCTTTTTATGCATATAATTTGGGTCTTAAAAACTTTCATGAACGGCCATTTAATAATTAAGATCTGTAACTTATAAGCCATAACGTAAATGTGTCTCAGAGTAAAATAGGATCATTTGCAGCAATAGGAACATATATTTACAGCTTAGTGCTTAACTTGGGCTTGAACATCCTGTATCTAGCTTGAATATAGTAAGTTTAAGAGTTATATACCAAAAAACATAGTAAATCTCATCAAGAAACAAATAAAAATAAAAATGAGAGAAAGGGAGAGATAGGTAACGCCACCCGGTAAGACTGTAAAAGTTTAGTTTATTTAAGCTTTGATCAAGTGGGTTGGGAGAAGCAATATCATAATAGTTCATCCTAATCCTAATGACATACACACAAACTAAATCAAAACACGGCCAATGTCCTTCCTTACTGGCTTATTCACCTTTGAACTCCCCTGAAAGTGACTACGTTTTTAAAGTGTCCCTTTTTTGTTATTGTTTTGAACAACTCATTCCTTTAGCATGTTGAAACGAAGCCTGTTCACGTCAAGTATTCAGTTTGCCAAAAAGAAGGTTGCTAAAAAAGAGGTTGTTCAAGAAAAAGCAATCCTTGGTAGACCTTCTAACAATCTTCGCATGGGTATTGTTGGACTTCCTAATATTGGGTAAAAAAAAAAAAGAGGAATGAGTTAAAGGAGACAAAGAGTTAATATCAGTATAGAAAGTCGTCCTTGTTCAACACACTGACAAACAGCAGCGTACCTGCAGAAAATTATCCGTTTTGTACGATTGACCCTTCAGAAGCACGAGTTCAAGTGCCTGATAGTCGATTTGATTGGCTTGTCAACCTATATCAACCCAAAAAAATAACACCTGCCCACGTAAAAAATGATGATAGTATATTATACATAACAATAATGACACACGAACTATCCATAGTTAACTGTAGTTGATATTGCTGGACTTGTCAAAGGAGCCTCACAAGGTGCTGGGTTAGGAAATGCGTTCTTATCGAATGTATCTTCTGTAGATGCTATATACCATCTTGTGCGAGCATTTGATAATGAGAATATTACTCACGTGGAAGATACGGTTAACCCTGTGAGAGACTTGGAAATTATTCAGAATGAATTGAGAATAAAGGATGAGGAAACGCTCGAACGTCAGATAATGGAATTAACAAGACAAGCAAGTCGAGAGCCAACAAAGAAGACAACGATAGGACTCTCAAAGCGAGATGAATTGAATATTATAGAAAAGGTGGCTGAATTTATGGCAAAGGGCAGAGATGTACGAAAAGGAGAGTGGACTGTGCCTGAAGTGAATGTGATCAATACGTTGCATTTACTCACAGCTAAACCCATGATTTATCTCTGTAATGTAAGTGAAGAAGAATATATAGCCAATGAAGGCTACAAGTGGTAAATGACAAGTGAAACTGTGATGACAACAACAACAACAACAATAATAGTAATCATAAATTGTAGGTTACCTGAAATAAAAAGCTGGGTTGAACACAATAATCCTGGTGATCTCATCATCCCATTATCGGTTCCACTGGAAGCCAAGATAGGCACAATGTCAAATCCGTCGGTTGAATCACAGTTACCCAAAGTTATATTGGCAGGATATAAAGCGCTTGACTTGATCCATTATTTTACTTGTGGACCACAAGAAGTGAGAGCATGGACAGTGAGAGTAAGTCAGTTTTTGACACGATGAATATGAGTCCTTATTTTCTTTTAGAATAATTCAAGGGCTCCTCAAGCAGCGGGTGTTATTCAGTAATTTTAAATATACATATGCATTTATAACATCACTCATCATTTTTTGCTTAGTACTGATTTTGAAAGAGGATTCATTTCTGCTGATATCATGAAAATAGATGATTTACAACACTATGGCTCTGAGAATGCAGTCAAGGCAGCAGGTAAATATCTTCAAAAAGGAAAAGATTATATAATGGAAGATGGTGATATCGCTTATTTCAAAGTAAGTAAATAATAATAATAATAATAATAACAATAATAATAATTTGATGTTTGTCTAGTTTAATGGTAAGCCTACATAAACAAGTAAATAATGTACATAAATTCATCTGTGTATTTTAGTGACAAACAACAAAAAGAAGTGATATAAATAAATATAATGTGACGTAAAACGAATACGTTCCACCAATACGCACGTATCAACATTTACATCCTTTCTTTCTCTCTCTTGCACACAGCCTTCTATTCTTTTTTTTTTTTTAAACTCACACATGCACATACATCTCATATAGAGTGGGCATATCAGTTTTTTTTTTATTATTATTATTTCTCTCTCTCTTTTATTTTTTTTTTTTAATATTATTATTATTATTTAAAATGTTGCAGGAATATCCGACACAAGTACAACCTCGTTCTTCTTCTACCAGAGACACTCAAGACCAAGATGTCGATTCATCTAATAAATTAGATGCTGAGGCTGGTCGTATTCTTATTGACTTGGCTAACCAGGACACTAGCTTACGTAACTTGAATGGTAATAATAATAATAATAATATAGAATTTATCTTAAAGTTTACCTTTTATTATAAAACTGTGTGTGTGTGAATAATAGATAAATCAACCAGTAAAGGTTAGATAATGACTATATAGAATAAAATGTGTCATTAACCCAGAAAAAAAAAAAGGAGACGTCGGGACATCTATCAAGGCGAATCATATTCTTCAACGCTTACAACCTGATCCAATCATGTTATTAGCCGCTGCTGCTGCCGTCATTGATGACGAGGGAAAGTATAAGGGACGATCTTATGAAAGACGAGAAATAAAGCTACAGACAAGAAGACACAGTAAGTTGTCAAAAAACACCACAAATAATGTCAATATTTACACTTGTTTAGGCATGTCAACGACAAAAAGGAAATCATTGACTACCACAACAGAGTCTTATTTGTATCGTAGAACAAGTGAAAGACGCTATCGTAATCAAAGGCCATCATTGACATCTCAGCCTTCATCTGACACGTGGATGCCTACGAGGACAATAACACCTGAAGACGAAGATGAAGAAATGCCATTAAAAGGGGTAAATATACATATAAACCTTGGCTTGCATGTTGCCTTGACTCTTTCTTTTTATAGGAATCACAGCATACATTTTCATGGCAATATTTATCAATGGTAAAGCAATACATTTTCTATAAACAAAAGGATGCTCACAAGCCATTCCCTTTGGCTCTTGTTAGAAACAGAACCCACGTATCAAAAGAAATGCAATGCATGCATATATTACATATATGATATATACAGATATGGCCAATGAACAGCGTACAGTAAGTCCTTTTCCACTATGATGCATAAATCAAAAAATGAACCATCCTTGTTATAGAAGCAAAATCATAACAGTAACAGTACTAACAGCAGCAACAGCAGCAGTAATAACAGTAGCCATCATAATCATAAGAATGTATATAGCAAGGATGTGACCAACAACAACAACAGTAACAACTGGTACATGCAATCCTATCGTCTACCACCTTCACCAAGACAACGGCATGATGCTGTCTTACCACCTCCGACCGACACACCTAATAACAGTATTATCGGTCGTCCATTAACAGATTTCTTATTTGACAATCATCGTCCGTCGTCATCGTCTATTTTGCCACCCCCAAATAACGCCAGAGCGTTTTAGTAAATATTGTCCATAAAATAAAAATGTCGTGAGGTGTATAACTCGACCCAAACCTTTCTTATTTTATCTGTGGCACTATTTCTTAAGGTAGTAGGACAGAGAACCTTATGCATGTCTTTCTCTTTTTCTTTCTCTATGACCTTTCTATTAAACAAGAATATTTATAAAAGGGAAAGATAATCAAATAAATATGCTGATTATCATGACACACAGACATATGGAAAGGGTTCTCTAGCGCTAATAATCGCCCATTCAAAAGGAAGCACACAACAACAACATTATGCAACATGCACTGACACACAAAACTTTCGGAGAGAAAAAAAAAAGAAACCCTGCTGAAAGATCACTAGCACACAATTACCCATTTATAGTATTGACTCTTACCGCGCTTTTTTTTTTTTTTTTTTTTTTGAAGATCCAATCTTTATATGTTGTAGTCATAACAACCAAATAAAAAAAGAAAAGCTTCAAAAGTTTATCCGGAAATGCTGTGTATCGTGCTTTTAAAATAAATCACTTTTGTGTATCTCCAAAAATAAAAAATAGATCTCTTCTTATTTTAGGAAAAGAGAGAAAAAGGATAAGGAACCGATCCTCCTACTTCTTTTATTAGCTTTCCCCCTGACCCAATTATCTATTCCTATCCTTTAAGAAAATAGATACAAATAGAAATAGTGACAATAAATTTAATTGAATCAAAAAAGGGGTGCAAAGTATAATGAAACAGTAAACAAAGAATCGAGAGAACACAAAAAAAAAGCCCGTTCTGTCTGTAACTTGTTCGGCTCCTTAGACTTTCTTCTCACACACACATATTATCTAGACACACACACACACACATACATACAGATAGGTCACTTTTTTTATTTTATTTTTTTATTTTCAACTCCCTTTTTTATATTTTATTTTCTCTTTAGGTGGCAAACCTTTTTTTTATATTCTTTCTTTTTATTCCAGTGTTTTATATACATATTAAACTCCTGAAATAAACATCACCCATATACACACACATATATTTATATATAAAGAAAAAGAGAAAGAGAGAAAGAGAAGAGCAAGTCTAGTCTGTTTTCTTTTTCTTTTATTAAATAATCCCCTTTTATTATTCTTATTATTACTACTACTTTTATTGAAGCCTCTCTCTCTCTTTTCTTTTCTTTACAATGAGTACGTCACCAACATTATTTAATACTTCCGGTTCTTCTGCAGCCACAAGGTTAGCCTCACCACCACACAAACTTATAGATACAAAGCCGAAAAAGTTACGGAACAATGCCAAGCGCAAATCAACACTTACAACTAATAATGATAATCATAATAATAATAATAATTGTAAAAAGGTAAAACACTCATAACAGATTGATTTCAATAACCTCATCTATTAAATCTCAGGCACCGTGGCGTATACCAGGAAATTATGAAATACCGGATATAATAAAAGAGGCATGGGAGAAGAATAAAGACAAGATAATGAATAACAATCAACAGCATCAATCAAAGCATAACAATATACCAAAAAACCAACACCAATTAGACCCCAAATCATCTCTCAAGAATCAACCTACAAAGGTAAAGCTAATAAGGCTTTAGTATATATATATATTTATATCATCATTAGAGATGGATACCCGTTGTAAAACCGTTGGACATTTTGCCTTTACCACCACCCATTATCAAAGTCAAACGTAAATTACATGCCGAGTTTGACGCTAAACTTCGGAAAGTCCTTCCGGGATCAAAAATCATGGATATGAATCCAAAAGAGCAATTTGAAAGCCTTCGTAAAGTGGGTAGTGGGTAAATAGAACACAATCTTGTACAACCCCCGTTCTCTAAAAGAAAAACCTGTATGTAGTGCTAATGGCGCCGTCGTACGAGCTGTAAAAAAGCATACAAAAGTCCAGGTGGCTATCAAACGATGCTATATTGAAGATCAGGATACACCTCATCATGCTTATATCTTGCGCGAATTACGTATCATGGGTTGTTTGAACCATCCAAACCTAATTCAGTTACGGGAGGCTTGTCTATGGGAAGATCACCTTTGGATGTGTATGGAACTGATGTCTTGTTCTGTATTCAATTTATTATTTAATACAACCACTGGATTAAGTGAAGGTCATACGGTTCGAATTGCTAAAGAGGTAAGATAATACGATATAAATGTGTTAACAGTTCACTCATTTATATATTTATATAAAGTGTTTGGAAGGTTTGGTTTATCTTCACTCCAAGAATTACATGCATCGCGATATAAAATGTGAAAATATCCTTTTAGGCAGAAATGGTCAAGTTAAGCTAGGTAATAAAGTTGTATGTGTTTACGAAAAAAAAAAGCATGTCATGACATAAGTTTTTTTTTTAGCTGATTTTGGTCTAGCAACTCCATTGAACAGAGTCAATACCAACAGACTAGGTACAGCCAAGGTAACGAAAAATCACTTAGTTTCTATAGCAACAGCTCACTAAACACCCCTCTTTTCTTTATCAGTGGATGGCACCTGAAGTCGTATCAGAGAGTCCTTATAAAGAAAACGTCGATATTTGGTCGCTTGCTATCACGATGATCGAAATGATGGATCGTGTGCCCCCGCTTTATTATCTTGAAAACAACCAAGACGTTTATGCCGAAATCCTCTATGGTGATCCACCCAAGTTCCACTTTTCGGTCCCATCACCTGCAATGAATGATCTTGTTCGTTGGATGTTGACTTATAATGGATTATCTCGTCCCGGAGCAAAAGCCGTGCTCAAGGTAATACAAGAAAAAAATTGATGTTTGTATGACATTGTTGTTAATGTCATCTCTTGTAGAGAATTAACAGCGACATCAAAAGAGGTTTGCTCGAATGTTCAAAGCAGAAAGAGTTGTCTTTTCTTGTTCGTGAAGTATTCCCAGATGCTACCAATTAAATACCCCTAAACACACAGCAGCAGACCGATCAAACGAAAGAGATTGAAAGAAAGTGAATACACCTACGTCTTGAGCAGTAGTCTTAATAGTAGTAGTAGTAATGGTAGCAACAGTGGTAGATTATAATGTATATCCCCCTCTTCTTTTTATTCCCCCTTTCCCCTTATTTTTTTAAAAGCAAAAACAAGAATATCAAGTGTAAAGTTATCATAGTTCTCTTTTTTTCTTTCAATTTGTAAATTATTCTTCATAAAAACATCTTTATATATAATATTCTTTTATATATGAAGAGGATTTTTTTTTTAAAAATTTTCTGATTAGTTAAGATCGCCTTCTTCTCTTGACAGGTGCCATGATCTACTGGGGAAAAAAATGACAGCTTGAGCTTATTATGATCTCTTCATACAGTACTCCTTAGTTTTGGTCTTGTATAGAAAACGTGTTGCCTAGGAAACTATAAAGCCCTGAAAATACGTCAAGGCTATGTATTTTTTTTTTTTTTCATACTACAATTGACGCTCGTGATTGAAAGTCCATAGAAATAAGAAATAAAAAAAAGGCACCTTTGGAAGAGAAAAATTGAACTTTTTAATGACAAAGCAAAATAATATGCTATTTTATTGTTTATTCTTCGTCGGATTCTTCAGCGAGAGTCATGGCAATACGATCCAAATCACGTTGTCCATCTTGAGTGATTCTACGGCCACTGTAGAAAGAGTCAGTCTCTGTATTCAGATAACACATCACGAAACTTACCCTTTCTTGTCTTGTTCCAAGACACCGATCTTTTCCAAAGATTGGAGGACCTTACGGTTGACGGAGCCAGAGGCATCAACGTGGTGAGAAGGACGAGAACCACGGTTGACGGTACCACCGTGAACCTTGTTCAAGGCACCAACACCAACGTTCTTACGGATGTAGATGTGACGAGCAACGGAGGCTATGATGAGTCGTTAAATATTATTCATCAAACTTGAATCACATTTGATAGTTACCAGCACGGATATAGTACCAATCGGGGTCATAGGGAGCCAATTCCTTGAAGGTACCGGTCTTGACAAGATCGACCCACTTGGGGACTTCGAGCTTACCGGTACGCTTGAGGTAAGCAGCATAAGCCTTGATGAAAGCTATCAGAAAAAGTATAAGTCACTGGTGATTTTCAAGACACATGCTGTTTGCTAAGTATCGAGCCAAGCCACTAAAGCCATATTTTTTTTTTTGTATAATCATTCAAAAGGGAAACAATGCATGTATGCTTACAACTCACACATGACAACACACAAGTGGTCAAACGTTAAGTCATAACTACAAGCAACGTTTAAAAAAACAGAGAACAAGAAACATAATGTAAAGATTCCAACCGGGATTTTGTCATAAATCCCTTTACATGTTTTCTCGTGGTTTCACTCATTTTGTGTGTCTTTCATTGTTATCGTGGCTATGACTTCGTCGAGAGCAGTAGCATGTGTTTTAATGTCAATAATTACCGTGGGCGTTGACGTCCTTTACAGTGATACCAGCCATAATAATATAGAGAAAGAGAAGGAATAACCTACCTCCGCCTTAATGAAAAAATAAAAATTTTTTTCTACTGGCTGCCTTGACGCATTAGCCAATCAGGTGCGTAGCTGGTATTTAAAGAAGTTGACCGCTCTTGTCTTGTGTCTCTATAATGTGTGTCTGGTTCTATTCTGGACTAAATAATGACAAACAAGAGAGAGAAAGACAGAAACAGATGAAACCATAAGATAGTGTTTAGAGGTAATGCTTATTTATCTCTCTTGTTTGCACTTATGTCTCATATTTTATAATCATGATATGAAGGACAAGCAAACAACTACTTTTTGTTCTTGAGTTCGCCTCTATCTTTTTTTATATAGTCACTGTATTATCGTTGTATCGGCAGTTGTGAGCTACGTTAACATACTCATTTATCTTTTTCAAAGGTTTCTCTTTTTCGGACCTGTTACAGGAACGAAATCACTTCCGATAGATCAAAGTTCAAATTTGTCCAAATAAACCGTAGAGCAGCTGACATGTCAATGAACCTATGTTATTGAAAGAGAGAATAGCACAAAACAAAAGGCGTAAAATATAAGCATATACTATAGCAAACAGAAATAGAACCAATGTCTTTGTATAAAAGATTGGAAAATGATTACATTCTTTTCAACTTTTATTCCAAACTTTTTATTTTCATTTTTACAAATGGTTCAATCGCTTCCTTTATTTGGGTCACCTCTTGTCACCGCTTTGGCTCGCTCGAGTATCAAGACCACCAACGGTCTGTGCGTACCAGGTATATTGGCGAGATGCTATGATGAAATTTATGCCAATGGTAAGTTTTAAATAAATAAAAGCATATGAGCAAGATTATATATTCTTGATGTAGGAATGGAGCTTGAAGGCATATTTCGTAAATCTGGATCTGCAGCTGTTATGAACCAACTTCAAGCCCGGTTTGAAGCGGCCGAAGATCCACTCACAGTAACCTTTCCTCCAAATGTGAATGGTCATTCTATAGCTGGCTTGTTGAAACGTTATTTGCAGCAGCTGCCTGAACCCGTCATCCCGAAACAGAATCAACGCCAGTTCATTGAAGCGTTTGGTAAGGAAGGATGCAAAGATTGCTTGGTTGCAATGGGACTGACACCTTTATTGTCGTAGATGACATCAAATACTCGGATGATATAATCAAGGCGCGGCTACTGGAGGCTTGCAAGGCTTTGCCCTACGAGCATCTTCACTTGCTCCAGTTCATTCTCTACATGTGTACCATGACCCAAAGATGTGAGAAAACCAACCATATGTCGTTGAATTCACTGGCCATCATCTTTGCTCCTACCTGTGTTCGTCTTGATGGCGTATCTCAATTGATGCCTAATGAAGCCATCGATCATGTAACGGAATTCTCCAAAGCTGGCTCCTCCTCTTGTTCTGATCTTCCTGTGTCAATGAACAAGCAGCATGACATTTTTGCCAAAGCAAGAAAGTTCATCTGCGATGCTTTCAAGAGGAAGATAGGCAAGCATCAAAAAAACAACTGGAATTACAATGGCAAGAATAGCCAGTCCATGATTCTATACCAGCCAAGCGAATTGCTCCGTTTGGACTTGATAAAAGAAAGCACGACATGGATCAAGATTTTTAAATTTATGATGGTCCATGCTAGCTCCTTTACGCGTATAACAAGATATAACAGTGGAGCACTTCCTCCAAGAATAATAACAAGAGTCAAATATTAATTTATTTCTTTTTCTTTTTCTTCATCTTTAATCGTTCTTTTTTTTTTTACTTTATTTCTTTTCAACCGGTATCTTTAAATATTAAAATGAATAAAAATATGAAAAATGAAGAAAACGTAAATACTAGCGAATGTTTTATCTGATACCAAGGAATGCTTGGTAGTTGTTTTGAAAGGATTCGTTATTTGAATGTAGTCCGTATACCCTATCATCGATCCCAGCCTCTTGCTTGTTTGACTACATTAGTCACAGTGGTTGGTTGAATATATTGTATTTTGTTTGACTGATTAATGTAGATGAGGAATGCTGTCTGATCAGCGCTTGGATCAGAATGGACATGTGTCGTCTTTTCTATAAATGTAATTGGACACATAGGGGTACGTGGCAAAGTACCAATATTGAATACTTTTATTGCGGTGCCTTAGGTGCTTTAATGAGGAGTGTGACGCTTGTGAGCTTACCCTAAATATCAAACTTGAAGTGGATACCACATTTCTACAAGGCGTCAATATCTGATCTAGGCCGCAACGTCGTCACAATGCGTAATAACAGAATTGCCTTTTGTTGCAGTTTATCAATAGTAAGACAACGTGTTTGATGCGAATTAGTACAATACTTCATAGTTTTACAGGTGAGCATACATTCTATTTTTTCATTTCTTTATCAAATCAAAGCTTACATCTTTATGAGATGGCCTCATAAACTTGCATATTAACGTTTTGTATAATCCAATTGCCAAATGCTGCAAATTGGAAGCGTCTGAGTTTAATGGTTCGTCGTTGTACGAATCAAAAGCCTCATAGCTCTTTTTGATAAACCATAATCTGGATTGGAAACAGTCTCTTATGCTGACACTGGTTAATGAACAAGACATAGTTTACTTCACCAGATCCTTGAAGGCTACTCTTCTCCTGCCTTACTTACTTGACATCGTGATGTATACTTAATTATGGCCTTTTCTGAAATCACGAACCTCGACATCTTAATTAGCTCCTTTAAAAAGGCTGTTCGTTCAGTAATCTCAGAAGACCATGATTATGGCTTGCTGGATTACTGTACCACTCCGAAATTTCTTTTGAATGTTTTGCAAATGCCGTGTTATAATTCAATAAATATATTTTTGAAGATCGCAATGTGTGTGGGTTCCCCTCCTTCCACTCAAATTTTCTATTATTCAAGAAAAGCTTGCATACCTTGTTTTCTTCATGTGAATCTATTGCTAAATTCAGTATCTACCATTATCATGGATGCTTTGAAGGTAAAAGTCGCATCATTCCTGAGCATCCCTCTGTCTCTGTTGATATTTATACACATTGTGAGAGGTACTGTCCAATAATGAAGACTGGACGATCTACACGTCCCGGTCACCCATTGTCAATACTACTACCAACTGAACACCCACGACTCGTCTGCCCCACATATCTCGTTTATTATTGCTGCGCTTGTCATATCCGTCACAGCTGTTCCCGTCGCTTTCTACTCGCTCTGTTTCCGACATCAAGCGTTCTCGTATTTTCTTCCTTCAATAAAATGGAGACCAATACTGGTCCTCTAGACGATGTTTAGACATTGTTCATGACGTTTATGCATCATCTCTGCTACTAAGCAGCTGATGTTTCTGTTTTTGAATACATTGACTATCTGAGATCACTGCTTCTCCGGTAGGTGGCTTCATCAGCATATCTTATTTATACAACAATATATCAGCTACAAAAAAGGTACTTCTTCATCAATGCAACAGGCGAAAAAGGGCAATAGAATAAGTAATAGGTAACATATGATATCTTTTTGAGTCTCATTTTGAGCAAGCGGAACTGTTCAAAGATTCACCAATCAAAACTAGCCTGTCCTCATGGTCTTTGCTCTGACTCGCTTGTCCCACCCTCTTTGCTCTCTGGCGTGTATCTGGGACGTTTTCTCAATTGCTTCGTCTTGTGCTCTGGATTCTCTTAGTTCTCCGTTCCTTTTTTTTTTTTTGTTTAAACAATCCTAGGTAGTTATCGCTACCCTCCCCAGAATGCACCTTGGTGGTAAGTAAAACTGATATTAGGATATATGCTCTAATACTAACATACTTTTTCTCTCTTTTTCTACACATAGTCATCATCTCTCTCTCTTTTGACATGATATCGTTTTATTCAAACATATTTTTCTTTGTCGTCTTTTTACGTAAATAATTTTTATATTTTACGACAATATTTTATAAAATTAACGTCAAAAATCAATAAAAATACAGTATTCGTATTCATAATATAAACATCGTTTTATTTAATGAAATATCCTACGGTTTTACTTGATTTCTTACTCTAAATAGAGCCTTTATCGCTTACTAATAACGCATAGAAACAAAGCAAAAAAAAAAAAACATTAGACGGAAATGTGTGTAAAAAGAACTATCGAGTTTATTGAAGTTTTATTATACTTTGACAATATGAATCCTTAGAGCTGATCATTGCGTTGATGACACTCTTCAGATACTTGATCAGGAATAGTGTTATTGAGGCCAACATAGGAACCTTAATCCTCAGTGCTCCATTATCTTCATTGGGATGAAAAACTTGAAGACTTGGTCATCAGAAGGAGACTCTGTAGTTAGACCTGAAATGGGGTGTCAATAGTGGCACACTCTCTTGTTGAACCCTTTTTATATAAAAACGAGTATTTCAATCTCATCTTGTTGAGCCTGCATTAGCGAAGATAAGATGAATATAAATCTTACAACAATTGCCTCAGAAAAGTAAGCAAACATTCTTTTGTACATAAATAAGAAATGCTAAAACTAATAAAGATATTCGTTGTAAAAGAATAAATTCAAGCTTTATCTATTAATAAGTAAAAAATTGAGGACTTGAGCCATCAGAAGGAGGCACTGGGCCATCAGCATTTGGATCAGTAGCATCAATAGCAGTATCAATAGCAGCATCAATAGCAGCATCACTAGGAGCATTTAGATCAAAATCTGCAGGACTTATGTCATCAGAAAAAGATTCTGTAACTAGATCCAAAGCTTGAGGGCTTGGGCCTTCAGGAGGAGGTGTGTTTGGATCAGCAGTTGCATCGCTTGTGTCAAAAGCTTGAAGATTGTCATCACCAGGAGGAGCAGCATCAGCTTGGGGAGAAGGAGCAGCAAAGCCAATAGCGACAAGAGAAGCGCAGATAGTAAGAATAACAAGCTTGATTTGCATTTGAGTAAAAAAAAAAGTATAAAAGCCAAAGAACTGTTGTATCTTCTCTTTTTTGCGTAGAATATTGCCCTTCTTTTATATTAATCAGATTCATGTAGAGACTGTTGTTATGACTGTTTACTATTGGCTCTAAGCACATTTGACTAATCTTGGTTAGATGGATGTGTTTATCTCTCTCTCTCTTTCTGTGTGTGTGTGCGTGTGTTTTGTTGATCGTTTATTCATAAATGCATAAACTACAGGAAGCATACTTGTTGTATGTACGCATTGGTATGCTTGTACTAATGAAATAGCTCTGGCTTAAGAGAGAATAAATACATGTAAACATACTGCTGTAATATTTTCCATCTGCATAAATGGATTTCCCTTTGTGTCCGTATCAATAATAACCGCAGGCGATTGACGATTCCCAAAAGCTGGAACTTTAGTTGTTTAATTTAATCGATAGTCAAAAATTATAATACAGCATAAGAGCTCTCAATAACGATTAAAACATGATAACCTGTATTTGTTTCGTTTATGCTAGATTTTCATTCATGAGTGAGACCTATAGAATGAAATACTGACTTAAAACACTCCCACATCAAAGGCTTTGGCTTTCCTTTTCCACAGATAAAAACTCTTGTCTCTTTTATTCTTTGTTATCTAAAACTGTCATTTTTTTTTTATCAGTGTGCAACTAATTTCTGAATAAAGTGTACACCAACTCTTCCTTTTGAACCTACTACCGACTCACAAATTGCGTTCCTTCTCTCGTGATTCTTCCTGGTTCTCTCATTGACCCCTTATATGTACTATCCTTTACGAACTTGGTCATCTATGCCATGGACAAGATATACCACCTCCACCGTCTGATTTAGGACGAAAGTTCCTCCAATGGCTTCCACCACCTCCTCTCTCCTCTTAACTTCTTGCGACCTAATCCTTGTTGTGTACCCTTCTTACCGTTTTCCTCCGCTTCTTTTCTTCCTTTTTTTTCCCCTTAATCTCAAAAGGGTTTTTAGATTCTATGTACTTTCTGATCTGGCCCGGGCGAGACGAAACTATACAGTTTCAATGCGCCCATTAGAGGTTTTAATTATTTATAAATAAAAGATTGTTTAATCGTACACCAATCCTTAGTCAAATGTTAACTATCAATAAAGCTGCTGTTATTATAAAAAGCTTTATTTTGTTTGTATTAAAGAAAACGTATATATGCATAAGCTAACTATGCCAAACATTTATGCAAAAGGCTTTAATAGTCAAACAAAAGAGAATAACCAGACTTTTCATTCTAAATATTTTATATTTTTTCAAGCAGAAATGCTTGATGTAAGATCAATTAACCTTTTCAAGCCAATAATCCAATTTCCATGAGCATCATATTCGGTCAGCATCAGTTGAGTGTGAACTTCAAGGGCCTTTCTATAGTTCTTTGTTTGTAACGCTACAGAAAAGACTGAGTGCTCTGTTTATATCATACATATCTACATGTATTACCTTGTGTCAACGTAAAGAGTGAATGAACGATATGTTGAGGTAATTGTTGGTTGTTCAATTGATCAATTAATACGCTTATCCTACGATTCGTATCGTCTATAATTCTCTTTTGAGGGCCATTCTACAAGGGAGATGATTGTTGGTTTTTATGTAGATATGAAAGAAAGAATACGGTACCTGAAGCTGTAGCTTACATGTGTCTAACGTAACTGTAATTATGTTTGCAATTTCTTTTTCATCAACACATTCTTTGGAGGTTTCTGAAATTGTGTTTTTATTAAAGATCTATCAACAAGTATTATTTTTTAGCTCCTTGGCTGCTATGTAAATTTACTTTTATAGGTGGATCATTCTATGAAGAAAGATGAGGGCTGCTGTCGTGAAGTTTTTCATTCTTGTTTTTTACCCAATGGTTCTCAATGACTGTATTTCTAAAATCAGTAGAAGGAGGGGATGAGGTAGCAGATGTCAATGGATTTATTGTCATGAAAAGATTAAGAAAAAAAAAAGAGATAATTTCTAAAGAGGTCCTTTAATACACTAATAAGCAACGGGAGTGTAGAATATAAAAATTAGTAGTTCTTCAAGTGCTTCAAGTAAGCAATAACACCGGCACGATCTTTTTTCTTGTAGCCAGCAAAGATCACCTTGGTACCGGGGATGAGCTTTTTGGGGTTAATAAGGTAGATACCGAGAAACTTTTCATTCCAAATAATACCTTTTTGAAGATTGACTTCAGAGTAACGATAACCAGAGACTTGACCAGTCTTGCGGCCAAAGATACCGTGGAGGTTAGGAACTTGCTTGGTACCGCCATCTTTAACGATGTGGCATTGATAACAACGAGATTTGAAGAGCTTAGCGTCAGCAGTAGCGTTGCCTTAAATCATGTTTAATAATAGAATTGGGGTGAAGAGATAAAAGAAGAAGAAATGAAGATAGATCTGTTTATTATCAAAGTCAATTCAATAGATATGCACTCTAATTAGTCATTCAGTTTTAACAAACCATGGAATGGTTGCTATAAGTACTTTATTTCAATTATAGTTTACTCTTGACTTCGTTTTCAGCTTCCTTCAGCCTTTTCTCTTGTTCCTCTTTTGACAACCTGACAACACCTTCCTGAGCTGTTGTAACGACCAGTGTGCCATCGCGACTGTAAATACGTCCAAACGCGACTCCACGTCCGCCATTCGTCCGAGGGCTATGTTTATCATAGAGTAGCCAATCATCAGCTCTGGCAGGCGCATGGAACCAAATAGAATGGTCAAGTGAGGTCATCATACCGATCGCTTTGGAGCTAAATGTTAAGCCATGCGCAACTGCTGCTGTATTCAAGAAAGCCGCGTCTGATGCAAAAGCGATACTACAAGCGTGCAATTTCATGTCGTCCGTTAGTTTACCGCGTGTTCTGAACCAACGTTGCTATTTTCAATCAGACTCAATTCTTTCATGTGTCAGTACACTTACATCCCGTCTACGTGGTTTGGTGTTCCCAGATACGACATCCTCGGTACTATCTATTGTCACATTAACGTATTCCATTACACCTGCCTATGAAATAAAAAAGTTCACCCTTTGTTCAATCTCCCCATTTGAAGGAACGCTTACGTCTTTAATTCTATTTTCAAGTCTTTTTAAAAATCGTCTTGGTGGATTATGTGTGCTTCTATACGCATTACGATACACTTCAATATCCCTAACAATTGATATGGTAAGTCATAATAAATGCGTTAACAAACCGATTTTTTACGTTGGCAAATTCTCGGGACTTGGAACGTCTGGCATCTCGGTCTATGTAAATTGAATACCTTGTGTTCTACAGATAGACTATGAATTTACCTGATGATTCAAGACGTATCCTTCCTCTGGTTTAGCAAAACTGCAAATACAAGTGAATATAGCTTTTCCTTTTTGTGTGGCCTTGACAATTCTAGTAGAAAATGATCTACCGTCTCGGATACGCTGAACGGCATAAATCACAGGACTTTCCACACTACATGCTAATATAAAATAAGAATGTAGAGACTAGGTTCGGTTAGAATTAAGGGCAAAAATTGGACTGACAATGAAACATACATGAACAAAAAAGTTATCTGGTACAGTATCCCAAGCTGCTTTCAATGCTTGAGCGACAATCTATAAATATCAAAGAAGGGAGATAAGGATCAGCAGTATGATAAGATTACTCTTACTTGTCCACCAAATACACCACGAGCGCCCAAAGGTAAGTGTAACTCTTTGCTCATGTATAAATTTGTATCAATCAGTTGTACATCAATGGCTCTTTCCATTTTTTGACCATAATCCAAGTCCTGTTCTGCTGTAAGCTTTTGCTCACCCAAAGAGAAGACATTTGTATATGCTTTGCTTGACATTCTTTTATTAAAAATGGAGAAAAAGAAAGGCTAAAAAAAGAGATATTGCTATTTTTTTTTATTCATATGATTTCCCAGGATGAGTTATCTTTCATGACAAGCAACATTATTCAAAGTCCCCCTCTTTTGTCTTTCCTAATCTGTCAATAATGCTGACACATCCCCCGCCTCATAATTACCCCAGTGTATGATGTAATGTAGATGAGGATGTATCTATTGTACCTGCCTTGATTGTCATCATCTTGAAAAAAAAAAAAAGATGTAGAACCATTTATTTTAAGTACATATTCTCTCAATCATCTTCCAAAACAGGAGGTGGATATTTAGCTAAGGATTGTTGATATTGATTAGGATAAGTTGTATTCAAGTGATTCTTTATCTTGCTGAGCTTAAGAAAGACTGAGTTTAAGTCTTTTTTGATCTGTTTGAGTAGTTTATTATGTTGTTCAAATTGCTTATGAACCATTTGATATCTTGCTGCACTAAATCTATTGAACGCTTCCAAGTTTTTCTCTGCTTGCATATATATCTTTAAACTATACTACTTTAGAAAAAGAAAATATCAAGCATTGTATTTTTACCACTCTTGTTGTTTGCTCATCAGTACTTGCATCTCTTGCTCATTCTTCAAGTTGAGAACATGTTTGGGTATAGTTTGAGACATGAAAAAAAAGGAAATAAAAATGTAATATGCAGTAAGTGGATATCATTTGTGACTTTTTTTTGCTCAAAAGTAAGCTACAAGTTGCATTCAACATAACCGCTCTATTGCTTTGACAACATATGAGCCCTTATCATTAGAGTAGTTCTAAATGTGATTTTACGCTGTTCAAGGTTGAATAAAGATATCCATTTATTTTTCTCAGTTTAACGAGAAATACCATATTGTGCTCTGTATTCCTTCATCAACTTCAATTCAGCTTCATAAGTTCCTTTTTCTTCCATGTATTCTACAATGTGATCCACAGTGATGATCGCACGAATGCTTACTCCATTCTTTTCTTCAATGGCTTGAATGGCGCTCTTACCAGAACCATCAGGTGCGACTTCAGCACGATCAACGGCTACGAGGACACCTGTGAGTTGAGCATTGTTTTGTCTAATGATTTCAATAGATTCATTGATAGCTGTTCCAGCAGTAATAACATCATCTACAATAACGACCTTGCCTCTCAAAGGTGTACCAACGATATTGCCTCCTTCACCATGATCTTTCTTTTCCTTACGGTTAAATGAGAAAGGAGCTTCCTTGCCATGATCGTTGGATAATGATAAAGCAGTGGCACAGACGAGAGGAATACCTTTATAGGCAGGGCCAAAGAGAACATCATATTCAAACCCAACGTCTTCGAGAGCAGCTGCATAGTATCTACCAATGGCACCCAAGGTCTTTCCGCTGTTAAATAAACCAGCGTTGATAAAATAAGGGGAGACGCGACCAGACTTGAGAGTAAAAGAACCAAATTTTAAGACGTCATTGGCGAGTGCAAACTCGATAAATTCACGTTGATAGCCCTTCATTTTTTGAAAAAAGAAAATGAAGAGAGAGAAAAGAAAAAAAATAGATGTGACAGTTTTTTATACTTTATTCAAAAATTATTCGCGCACTGATAATTTCAGACAGCAAATAATGATAAAAGAGAGCCCATCAGAAGCAAAAGAGTGGGATATAAAAGAAAAGATTAGTAAATCAGTTATTAAATTGATATTAAATACTTACATTATAAAAAAGAGGATTTATGATAGAAAAACAGAGAAGCAAGAAAAGTGAGTGAACATATAGAGAGATCATCAATACCTTATCCGAAGTGCATCATAGGTAGAGCCAACGATAACTGACCAGGAGAAAGAAGGGGAAAAAAGAAGCAATCCAGGGAAAAGAGAAGCGAGCAAGAAAGAGAGCGGATGAAATCAAGGTTTGGTAAGAACCAAACTATCCCCAGCTAGCATCGGTACTGTTTTCGATTTCATGATCTATAATACTACTTGTCAGTTTCTTACAAGAGTAAAGAATATAACATATCTTAGGGCTAGCTGGGGAGTAGCTGATTTGACTTTTTGGTCCAAAGAAGTCATGGTCAGACTATTTATATGAAGTCTCTAACAGCTTTTTCAGTTACGTGTTATTCATAAGTGTTGACCACATTTATCTTTTCTTCTCTCAAAAAGACGAAATTCATTGCCTTTTTAATAATAAAGAAGACATAGAAAATCAACTAAAGTAATGTGTGCGAATAATTTCTGAAAAAAGTTTATTTTAAATTTTTGACTCATGCGATTTTAAAAGAGGTACAACGACTTTTCCCTTGTTCTTTCCAGAATAAAGATAAGCAACACCGTCTGCAACATGATCGATTCCACTTGTACCAGGACTATCAATCAATACTTTCAGTTTGCCTTGATTTAAAAGTTCAATCATTGACTTCATATGCTTGCCATGCAAATGGGAGTAATCAGGCAAGAAGAAACCTGCGACTGTTCTTGATGTGCCCAGCAGTTTAAGTGTATCGACCTTATCGCCTTGCATACCATCTTTGGTTGAATAACTAGATAGTGTACCAATGACAATCAAACGACCGCGAACAGCCAAACTCTTTAAGCAAATGTCAAAGAAATTACCGCCAATACTCTCAAAGACGATGTCCACACCACGAGGATACTCCTTCTTCATGACCATCTTGAAATCTTCTTTTTTATAATTAATGACACGATCACATCCTAACTCCTTGAGCATAGCTACTTTATCGTCACTGGAACAAGTTCCGATAACATGATTGCCTGCTAATTTGGCTAATTGAACAGCGATTTGACCAGCACCACCAGCAGCTAAGAAAAAAAAATTACCAATTTAAATCACGTATCCGCTTTGCATATATATGTATATAAACTTACCGGCAGTAACCAAGACAGTTTCATTTTTAGTCATGCGTCCAGTTTCTGTTAGAGCAATAGAGGCGGTCAGGCCGGAAGTTAATAAGCCCAATAATTGAGGATTGCCATTCTATATATGCATATATATATGAATAAATAGTTGTTGTTTTTTTACAAGAAACTGATCTTACAGGCACAGGAATGGTCATCTTGTGAACGACAGCGCAATATTCAGCAAATGCGCCGTACTGGGTATATAATACAAAAGATCCAATCTTGTCTTTGGGAATATCAGGACCTACAGCAACAATCTGACCCAGAGCCTCGAAACCGACATCAAAAGGTCTTTACAAAAAAAAAGTGAGCGATATGAGTAGACAATAGTTTTTTGTATTGACTTACGGTTTGATTCCAGGAATGTATTTGCCATTTGTAAAGTTGATATCCGAAGCATTGATACCAACATAAAGGTTTTTAACAACCACCTGATTCTTCTTTAAATTATCTACCAAGTCTTGATAATTGACGGTAACAACGCGAGTCACTTTACTGAAATCGTTTCCGACTTCAATGGCCTGAAGTTTACGAAATGTAGTAGGACTATACTGAGTTAGTAGCAAATACTTTGTATCTTATTTGACTACTTTACTTTGTCATTGATTGAATGTAAAGAAAGCAAGATAGAAAAAAGAGAGAGAAGGTTTAAAAATGCTTATTTTCAAACTCACAAAATTTATCTTTGTCATCCAAAAAAGGTGTGTGAAGCCTAAATCCTTAAATGGAAATCTTCGTGTTTATGGCTGGTCCATTTGTTTATTTTATGTAAGAGTTTCCCATCCTGTAGCTTACAGCTCAACCAATTTTTTGAAATCAAGGCTAATCCATTTTTCAGTGTTCTCGTGACGTATTCTTCTTGCATACATCTCATTTTCTTGCTTTTTTCATTAATGGATTGAAAATAAAGAGCTCTTTGGATATTAATTAAATAGTATTCATAACACAGTGAATCAAAACTATGCCGACAATCAGCGTTACTCTCAGCATAAAATTACTTTGTTTTTATCTGCCCTGATAGGGTTTATCAGTCATTGTAGCAATTCAAATAAACTTTACTTTAATTGATTAAGTTGGAACTTTTTGTAAAAGCAATTGCATTAAGAATATTCGGCTTGTTTAATGACTCGATAACTTGTAAAAAGAACAACTTCAAGACTAATCAGCATGAATTTTTGTTTCGAACCGTCAAATTCTTATGGAGGATTTAATCCCTTTTAAAGTTGAACAAAGTGAGAATTGGTTCTTTTCTTTAGAAAATCTGAAGGCTTTCAATATTAAAAAATTAGTACTGTTAAACAATTTTATTTGTTATTTATAAAATATAAAGGCCATAAGGGGCACGTGATATTTTTATTATATCGTTTTTGCCCTGGCCAGTTCAAGTTGTGAGGCAGTATCTAAAAATCCCTCTAGGCTCGAGGGCAAAAATGCTTTGGCTGACAGATTCACGGAACAAGTGTTAAAAGCACTGCTATGAATAATTAAATAACCATTTAAGCAGTTTCTGCCCTGGGTCAGGAAGTGATGATGGCTCTTTTTCGTGGTATAAGTGATCAAGCTCATGTAAGATAGTGCAAATTACGGGCCATCTGATAGTCCAAAACGATCTTGTTTGAAAAGAGCGTGGCTTTCAAGTGGGAAGCTTATTTAAAAGGAGGAACAGAGGATCAGTTATAGACTTTGGTGTTTGTAGACGGTGATGCATGTCGAGGCAATAGATGGCATGTTGTTTTGTAAGGAGCTGTGGGGTGTGTCGAAGGCAGCGAGTAGTGTTATAACTGGGTAACCAACCAAGACGCCATCGTATGCATCGGCTTCTTTCTAGCCTTGTCATGGGTAACCAAAGGATTGGATCCGAAGAAATTGTTGGACGACACAGCGAGAGCAGATTTGAATTGCGTGCAGTACGCCGCTGTTCTACGTAGCCAGCAAATGTCGTTTATCGAATGGCTGAGCACCTACATTATTCAAATTACTAGATCATAAAAAATGAAGAGATTAATACGAGATATATACGCACCTCATGATGTTTCGACTTCCTCGCATCGGTTTGATGATCATCTACACAGGATGATATTGCATGTTTGTCCGTCCGAATGTGAAGGTCTTTTACACGAGGTAATCGGAAACCTATTCCAATGCTTATATAACAGGCCAAAGAGACAAAACAGCATATCTGCTATCGTTTAAGACAAAGAAACAGTAGAATGATCGTTCAAACGGTTCATAAATCAGCCTTCTGAATACAAACATCTCTTTTGTTGCCTAATTGCGAAAACAAAAAGGAATGCTGACGCAACCAGGTGAGAAAAGTATTTTAAAAAGCAATAAGGGAGATTTTTTCCAATTTTTTTTTGTGTGTGTTCCAACCTCCTGCTTGGTTACCTTGTTTTCTTACCATTTACACCATTTCCGGAAAGAGATGTCGCGCTGACTTGTCGCTTTTCGTATAAATTGTATTATAAAAATTGTAAAAATGCGACTTTACTTTCTGAAAAGACTGTACTTGAACTTGACAAAATTCCTGATGTCACAAAAGCGACCAACCAACAAAAGTGATAGCGAAACCTGCCCGCAAAAAGCAAACGGCTAGGGAAATGAAGCCGAGAGTCGACAATTCTCATCACATCACCTATTGCATCGAAAGTAAGTCCACCCTCACTTCTCCTGCTTTCTGTGAGCAATTCGATTTGTTTAGAAGGAACTACGCTTATTCGCGGTATAAGAACATTATATTCAAGTATTTGCCGGATGATTGCGATCGGTTGACAAAGGAATTCAATTTATGGAAAGGTTCCTTCGCAAGCAAACAGCTTTGGTTAGAGAAAATACGATTGGTGACAGATTTTGACGCACATCTCAGCAGTGCTGAATATGTGTAAAAAGCTATTCAACAAGAAATTCAAGTCTTGCCTGATGTCAATTGCTCCACATCCTTTCGCGTTTCTAGCCATGATACAACTCATCGCTCGATGTCACCATCAATCGATGGTAACGCCACGTCTATTGCCTCAAATTCTGATAACCAAGAGGCTAATGACTGTCAAGATTCTGTGAATACACCCGCGCTGGCAGATTCTGTTTTGAATTCCAGCTGTCTCGTTGCCACTGATAATGAGAATTCCACCGACGACTCGGCATCTGCGGATATGACAAGACACATACTGCTTACTCCATCACTGTGCAGTTCGAGTGTGAATGCCCAACTGATTCGCTGCAGCTGATGGATTCATACACTTTTCAAGGTCAAAAAACCTAGCTTTATCCTGACCAGTATAACGCATATAATCCCGTTTTGTATTTGTCTCTTTCATTCGGATATCTTCATCTTTTGGCTTTTCTAACAACATTGGACAAGTCAGAGAAGATTCATTGGGGACAGCAGTTTTCAAGTACTCAGCATGAGTAGCAATTGTCTCTAATAAATTCATTCTGATCAACAATATAGTTCATGGGCTCAGGGCCACCATTCTCATCAACATTTCCTTGCCCATCTTCATATAAAAATATTGTAGAATTATATATTTGTTTGAGTAGGTTTAAAGTGTAAGTTTTGAGTTATAAAGTCGTTGACGACAGTGACCACCAGATCTTTAACAGACCAAACAAGCAATTGAGTTATAAAGTATAAAAATAAAGTAATTTGTTAAAAATAAAAAGGTACAAGGACTATTCCGATCAGTAATATGAAGTTGATACTAGATCAGAAGGATTTTAAGTAAATAATGAAAATAAAATAAAATAAAAAAAAGATTATAAATCTTCCAAAGAAAGAATCTATAAGAGAGGTGAAAGAATATAAGGTTAGAAGGGTAATTTCATTCAAATATTCAATGTCTTGTCCAAGAAGGACGCAATGAGCAAGAGTATTTATACTGAAGAATTGTGTATTTAGACACAATCAGTTATGACTGACGGAGTACTAATGCTCCCTAGGTGGTGCAAAAGTACCAAATCTGTCACAATATTGTACTCATGTCAAATTGTAAAGTTATTAAAAAACACAAAACCCTGAAAAATAATACTCGCTCTCCTTTTATACTTTCGAGTGCCAAGGTTTCTAAGCAGGCGACGTGATTTCTAAAAATACGCTTCCATTTCTGAAAATATGAAATTGATTTGATTGATCTGTGACATCATTTTTAATTGGCTGCGACATTGCCTGTTGGATTCACTGTAAATTAGTTGATTTGGTACATTTTTTATAGGAAGATGTTGTAGAAAAAGATGAATCATAGATGACGAACAATTGAGGTCATTGTTTTAATATATACAGTCTTTTCAGAAAGTAAAATCGCATTTTTGCAATTTTTATAATACAATTTATACGAAAAAGCAACAAGTCAGCGCGACTCTTCTTTCTGGAAATGGTGTAAAAACCCAGATTTTAGTCTGTCAGACTAGCAAAGGTGGCACTTATTTGATTATGCTCAATACCAGCAATCTCGTCAAGTTTTTGGCCTTTTTTGAAAAACATAAAATTTGGTGTAGTTGTCACATTGTACTCGGAAGCAATGTCCTAAGAAAGAAGGTGTCATTCAGCGGTTTAAAGCAAAGATGAACCTACTGTATGTTGATCCACATATACTTTGACAAATACAACATTTGGATGCTTTTCTATGAGTTGATCAAGATAACCTTTTATCATATCAGAAGGATGACACATCTTGGCTGTGAATTGAACAAACGCAAGTTTATCTTGACCGATCAAGTCTTTAAATTCTGAGATGCTCTTGGGTTCTAAAAATCGATCCATGATTGAACAAAAAA